CAATGAATCCTGGATAGAGTTGGGCCCTGGAGGGTCCGAGGGGTTGCACTGGCTGACGACGATCCCCACTGGCGACTTAAAGCTGCCCGGTACCGCTGTACCATAGCCCCGATGTAAGCTACCAACACCAAGGTCAAGGGCGTCAAGAGAGTCAAAAGGGCAGACGTGCTACACTCACAAGCTGTCTTGGATCGAGTTGGGTCCAGGAGGGTCTGATGGGTTGCACTGGCTGACGACAATCCCCACAGGCGACGCGAAGCTGCCCGTCTTGCCGTCGCCTATCACCCGCTGCATCGGCCCTGCCATCTGCTGCTGCTTCACTCGCGCCAGCGCGCCCTTCTTGGTGTTGAGCTCTTGAAACAATTGTTCTTCTGGACGAGTGAAATCCACTCCTGCAGTGCAGTGGGTGGGCAGACAGGGACACACTCAGTTAATGCCACCTTTCCTTCCAGCAACCTGCATCGGCCCTGGCCTCTGCTGCTGCTTCACTCTGGCCAGCGCGCCCTTCTTGGAATTGAGCTCCTTGAATAATTCCTCTTCTGGACGAGTAGAATCCACTCCTGCGGTAGTGGGTGGGCAGACAGGGACACAACACACTCAGTTAATGCCACCTTTCCATACAGCAACCTGAATTTGGCCCTGCCATCTGCTGCTGCTTCACCCTGGCCAGCGCACCCGGCTTGCTCTTGAGCTCCTTGAATAGCTCCTCTGGACGGGTGAAGTCCAATCCTGCAAGCAGCAGTGAGCAAACGCAAGGCACGGTTGAAAGAAAGGGGGGCGATAAGCTGCCCGTCTTGCAGTCCCCTATCACCCGCTGCATCGGCCCCGCCATCTGCTGCTGCTTCACTCGCGCCAGCGCACCCGGCTTGCTCTTGAGCTCTTTGAATAGCTCCTCCTCTGGGCGAGTGAAAGTCCACTCCTGCAGTGGTGGGTGGGGAGACAGGGGCACATGCAGTGGTGGGGCCTTTCATGAAGGCCAAGTCCGCATCAAAACGAGCTATAACAGCAGATGTACGAACCGCGTCTAGAGCAGCACAGCACGTACCAGCACCGTACACACCACTCACTAGCCCCAAATACACCACTCACTAGCACCATAGATCTCTCCCAGTGGGCCAAGAGCAAGGGAGAGGCTGTCAGGTTGAGTGAGAGTGGTGGGAACATATAGTTGAAGGGAGTGAGAAGCCAGTTATGAATCAGCCCCACCGCTATACCAAACACACAACTCACCAGCACCATAGACCTCATCCAACGGCCCGAGAGCAAGGGAGAGGCTGTCGGGCTGAGTGAGAGTGGTCGGTCCCTTAAGTAACGCCAAGTCCGCATCAAAATCAGCTCCGGAAGCTGTGCTGCTGCTGATACTGCTGCTTCTGATATATCGAGCAGTAGCAGACAAAGAAGAATAAGAAGTGGTGGTGAGCAGCAGCAGCAGCAGGAGCAGCAGCGGGAGAAGCAGCAGAACTGGTAGCACCACCAGCACTAGAACCGGAAGTAGCAGCGGCGGCCCGAGCGATGAACTTGCAGCCCAAGGCTGAGAGCTTCACGTTGCGGCTCAGGTCGATGCCGATGGCGTTTTCCAGGAAGACTCCGTTCTCCACCACAATTCGTTCGCTGTTGAAAAAGAACATTCTGTTGAACGAAGAGGAGTGGAGGGGGTGCGGAGGGAGGGGTGGGGGGGGAGGGAGAGGGAGGAGGGGAGGGGGGAGGGGGGAGAGGGAAGACAGTGAACACAGGAGGAGGAGCAGAAACGCTGGCACCACCAGAGTCAGCAGCATCAGCAGCACCGGAAGGAGCAGCGGCGGCAGCTCGAGCGATGAACTTGCAGCCTGAGGCTGAGAGCTTCACGTTGCGGCTCAGGTCTATGCGCTCGCTGTTAAAGAAGAAGATTCTGGAAAGAGGGGGGGAGGGGGGACGGAGGGATGAGGGGAGAGGGAGGAGATGGAGAGAAGGGAGTTTCGAGAACAACACGTCTCGAGACGTGTTTCTTCCGTCTTGACCACAGGGCTCTTGATGTTGAAGTAGCACATTCTGGGGATATGTTTTTTGAGAATTCTCAAAAAACATACGCGAGAACAACACGTCTCGAGACGTGTTTCTTCCGTCTTGACCACAGGGCTCTCGATGTTGAAGTAGCACATTCTGGGGATATGTTTTTTGAGAATTCTCAAAAAACATACGCGAGAACAACACGTCTCGAGACGTGTTTCTTCCGTCTTGACCACAGGGCTCTCGATGTTGAAGTAGCACATTCTGGGGATATGTTTTTTGAGAATTCTCAAAAAACATACGCGAGAACAACACGTCTCGAGACGTGTTTCTTCCGTCTTGACCACAGGGCTCTTGATGTTGAAGTAGCACATTCTGGGGATATGTTTTTTGAGAATTCTCAAAAAACATACGCGAGAACAACACGTCTCGAGACGTGTTTCTTCCGTCTTGACCACAGGGCTCTTGATGTTGAAGTAGCACATTCTGGGGATATGTTTTTTGAGAATTCTCAAAAAACATACGCGAGAACAACACGTCTCGAGACGTGTTTCTTCCGTCTTGACCACAGGGCTCTCGATGTTGAAGTAGCACATTCTGGGGATATGTTTTTTGAGAATTCTCAAAAAACATACGCGAGAACAACACGTCTCGAGACGTGTTTCTTCCGTCTTGACCACAGGGCTCTCGATGTTGAAGTAGCACATTCTGGGGATATGTTTTTTGAGAATTCTCAAAAAACATACGCGAGAACAACACGTCTCGAGACGTGTTTCTTCCGTCTTGACCACAGGGCTCTCGATGTTGAAGTAGCACATTCTGGGGATATGTTTTTTGAGAATTCTCAAAAAACATACGCGAGAACAACACGTCTCGAGACGTGTTTCTTCCGTCTTGACCACAGGGCTCTCGATGTTGAAGTAGCACATTCTGGGGATATGTTTTTTGAGAATTCTCAAAAAACATACGCGAGAACAACACGTCTCGAGACGTGTTTCTTCCGTCTTGACCACAGGGCTCTCGATGTTGAAGTAGCACATTCTGGGGATATGTTTTTTGAGAATTCTCAAAAAACATACGCGAGAACAACACGTCTCGAGACGTGTTTCTTCCGTCTTGACCACAGGGCTCTCGATGTTGAAGTAGCACATTCTGGGGATATGTTTTTTGAGAATTCTCAAAAAACATACGCGAGAACAACACGTCTCGAGACGTGTTTCTTCCGTCTTGACCACAGGGCTCTCGATGTTGAAGTAGCACATTCTGGGGATATGTTTTTTGAGAATTCTCAAAAAACATACGCGAGAACAACACGTCTCGAGACGTGTTTCTTCCGTCTTGACCACAGGGCTCTCGATGTTGAAGTAGCACATTCTGGGGATATGTTTTTTGAGAATTCTCAAAAAACATACGCGAGAACAACACGTCTCGAGACGTGTTTCTTCCGTCTTGACCACAGGGCTCTCGATGTTGAAGTAGCACATTCTGGGGATATGTTTTTTGAGAATTCTCAAAAAACATACGCGAGAACAACACGTCTCGAGACGTGTTTCTTCCGTCTTGACCACAGGGCTCTTGATGTTGAAGTAACACATTCTGGGGATATGTTTTTTGAGAATTCTCAAAAAACATACGCGAGAACAACACGTCTCGAGACGTGTTTCTTCCGTCTTGACCACAGGGCTCTCGATGTTGAAGTAGCACATTCTGGGGATATGTTTTTTGAGAATTCTCAAAAAACATACGCGAGAACAACACGTCTCGAGACGTGTTTCTTCCGTCTTGACCACATGGCTCTTGATGTTGAAGTAGCACATTCTGGGGATATGTTTTTTGAGAATTCTCAAAAAACATACGCGAGAACAACACGTCTCGAGACGTGTTTCTTCCGTCTTGACCACAGGGCTCTCGATGTTGAAGTAGCACATTCTGGGGATATGTTTTTTGAGAATTCTCAAAAAACATACGCGAGAACAACACGTCTCGAGACGTGTTTCTTCCGTCTTGACCACAGGGCTCTTGATGTTGAAGTAGCACATTCTGGGGATATGTTTTTTGAGAATTCTCAAAAAACATACGCGAGAACAACACGTCTCGAGACGTGTTTCTTCCGTCTTGACCACAGGGCTCTCGATGTTGAAGTAGCACATTCTGGGGATATGTTTTTTGAGAATTCTCAAAAAACATACGCGAGAACAACACGTCTCGAGACGTGTTTCTTCCGTCTTGACCACAGGGCTCTTGATGTTGAAGTAGCACGTTCTGGGGATATGTTTTTTGAGAATTCTCAAAAAACATACGCGAGAACAACACGTCTCGAGACGTGTTTCTTCCGTCTTGACCACAGGGCTCTCGATGTTGAAGTAGCACATTCTGGGGATATGTTTTTTGAGAATTCTCAAAAAACATACGCGAGAACAACACGTCTCGAGACGTGTTTCTTCCGTCTTGACCACAGGGCTCTCGATGTTGAAGTAGCACGTTCTGGGGAGAGGGGAGGAGTGGGGAAGGAGGGATGGGGGGAGAGGGAGAGAGAGGAGAAGACAGTGAATACATAAAATTTCCATTCTTGATCACGATGCTTTCACTGATAAACAAAAAAGCATTCTGGAAAGAGGAAGAGAGGGGAGCAACAGAGGAGAGGAACACGCTCGCCTTGATTGTACACCAGGAAGCGAGCATACGAGCTGTGCAGGTACATGCGTGTGAAGGGTTTTGCTGCTGTGCCTTGTTCCCAGTTCCATCCATCCACACACATATGCACCCACTCCCACTCCCTCTCTCACTCACCCCACCGTATTGCGGTAGATCAAAAAGTCCTTCAAGGGAGGCGGGTCCTTTATTATACACCGGATTGCGCACGTACAAGCCGTGCGGGTACGTGCGAACAGCATGTTGCCATACCACATACATCTACACACTCACCCCACTGTGTTGCGGTAGATCAAAAAGTCCTTCAAGGGAGCCGGGTCCTTGTTATACACCAGAACCTCCCACATTCCCACAACCAGAAAGTACCATACCACATTCCCACACTCCCTCTTTCACTCACCCCACTGTGTTGCGGTAGATCAGGAAGTCCTTCAAGAGGGCCGGGTCCTTGTTATAACCCGGGTAGCGCGCATACGAGCCATGCGGGTACGTGCTGAATGAACTTAAATAGATTGCTGTGGGGGGTGGGGTGGTGCTACTGTGCCAGGTTCCATACACCATCCACTCGCAACGCCACACTCACCCCACTGTGTTGCGGTAGATCAGGAAGTCTTTCAAGGGGGCGGGTCCTTGTTATACACCGGGTAGCCGTGCGGGTACATGCTGAATGAACCCAAACAGGTTGCTGTGAGGTGAGGGGTGTTGCTACTACTGCGCCAGGTTCCATCCATGCACACACCCACTCCCAGTGCTACACTCACTCACCCCACTGTGTTGCGGTAGATAAGAAAGTCCTTCAATGGAGCCGGGTCTTTATTATACACCGGGTAGCGCGCATACGAGCCGTGTGGGTATGTCCGGAACCCAAACAGGTTGCTGTGAGCGACGTTCCCCGTGTATTCCCCCCAGTTGTAGGTGAGGGGGTTGATGGCTCCTATGGCTGGCAGCAGGCGGGACACACCTCGCATGTATGGGGTGGCCTCTAGCCAGAATCTGAGAGAAGGGGGAGTGTATTGGAGGAGGGAAGGGAGGGAAGGGTGGGACGTTTGCTAGGTTGCTGTGAGCGGCATTCATTCCCCGAGTATTCCCCCCAGTTGTAGGTGAGCGGGTTGATCTTGCCGACCTGAGGCAGCAGGCGGGATACCCCACGCATGTACGGGGTCGCCTCTAGCCAAAAGCTGAATGGTTGTTGGGGGGAAGGGGCAGGGAGTGGGGAGAGAGTGGGTATGTGCGAGACCCAAACAGGTTGCTGTGCGCGACGTTCCCCGAGTACTCGCCCCAGTTGTAGGTCAGCGGGTTGATGGCTCACATACACATACATACATATACATACATACACATACACACCACACATGCATACATACGTACATATTTAGTAAACAACATATATACAATATATATACACTGTAGTAGGCACCCTGAATCCTCCGACCCAGCAGCCACGTTATCAATGAAGTTGCTGTGGGGAGTGGCGAGCCAGAACGTGGTGGGTTGTCTAGAGTGTAGTAAATACTGCACTGCACCCATATATGTATAAAGTATGTGTATAGATTATATGTTGATAAACGGTTACACTCACCCTGAATCCTCCGACCCAGCGGCAACATTATCAATGAAGTTGCTGTGGGGAGTGGCGAGCCAGAACGTGGTGGGTTGTTTGTCCGTCTGCTTGTCCAGCTTGCTGCTGCTCGCGGGGGGAATTGATTTTTCCACTGCACAGTAGGGGGAGGGGGGGGGGGGGGGGGGGGGGGGGGGGGGGGGGGGGGGGAGAGGGAGGGGGATGGGGCGAGGAAGAGGGCTCAGTGGTAGTGCGAGCCAGAACGTGGTGGGTTGTTTGTCCGTCTGCTTGTCCAGCTTGCTGCTGCTGGCGGGGGGAATCGCCTTCTCAACTTCACGGTGGGGGATAGGAAGTAGAAGAAATCAACGAGCAACGCGTGGGATCGGGGGAGTAGAGAAGGGGCAAGTGGGGAGGAGGGGGAGGGGGGGAGAGCGGGCTTGAGGGGAAGTGGGGAGGGAAGAGAGGGGGAGGGGTGAATCACAGGCCGTACCTTTCCGGGCGTTAATCCCAAGGTTGCGCCTGAAGTTATTGTTTAGCTCACTGCCCTCTTCCAACAAATAGCAGTGCCCCTTGGTCTCGTACGCCACGTTTTCCTCTATTTTCATGCTGCCCGTGGCGTGAATCACCATGCATCGCTGTTGGCCGAAAGGGAAAGGGCGTGCACGATGGAAGGAGGGGGATAAGGCAGAAGTGGGGCACATGGAGCAGGTAGCAGTGGCCCTTGGTCTCGTACGCCACGTTGTCCTCTATCGTCATGCTGCCCGTTGCATGGATCACCATGCACCGCTGAAGAGGGGAGGAGAGAGGAGAGAGGAGAGAGAAGAGAGGAGAGAGGGAGCAGATGGAGCATGTGGAGTAAGTAAGTGGCAGTGCCCCTTGGTTCTATACGCTCTATGGTCATGCTGCCCGTGGCGTGAATCACCATGCACCTCTGAAGGAGGAAGGCGGAAAGGGAGGGGAGAGGGTGTTGAGGGGGATGTGAACGACAGAGGGAGAAGAAGAGGGGAATCGATTGCTGAGAGAAGGGATTGAGCCTGCCAGTTCCCATACCTGTCTCACTTCCCGAGCCTCTCTCACTTCCCGAGCCTGTCTCACTTCCCGAGCCTGTCTCACTCGCCGTACCTGTCTGGTGAACACGATCGCATTCTTCCGAACCACGTGGTCCTGCCCGTTCTGCCCGCAAATATGGAAGTGCACGGGGTATTTCCCCAGTGTCCCCTGATTTCCGAGGCCTTTAAACTGCACACCCTCCAAGATCTGCTTGGTAGGTGTCATGTAGATGATGAAATGTCCCCCGTCGAGCTGATGTGGCGCCTCCTCATTCGTCCCCTGGATGCTGACGTGGCGGTCCAGCAGCGCAACTTCCCCGAAAATTCCTACGGTGCCCGAGCCGCCGTCAGGTAACACCTCCCCCTGGTGCGTGTTCTTCAGGGGGGTCTGCAGGTTGATGCGGAAAACGCCAGGATTGCTGATGTCAGCGGCAACTGGTGTAGGGGAGTCGTGGGTTTGGGTGGAGTTGGTCAGAGAGGGGAAGGGGGATGAAGGGAGGGAGGATAAAAATATTAAGCATCGTTGTCTGCAGCAGATTAAACTTCGTTGTGCGTCAGTGTCTGCAGCAGTGAGGGATTGAAAAGAGACAAGGAAAAAAGGAACTAGTTAATTGTTCCAACCAACAGGGGGAGGTGTGATTCAGGAGAATATCAAATCACATCTGATTCTCACCTGACGCAATCAAATGGTGCTCCGCCTCGTTCAGGTCGTTACTGGTGGAGGCCAGAGCCACCGTCATCCCCGCCGCCCAGTTGCTGACGTCAGCGTCCACGAGAATGTGGCTCTGGCCGGCATTGGCCGTCTCTCTCAGGCGCACCCACGAGGGCGTGTCGCTGCCCCCCGGCATGCCATGAAAGGCCACCTGCCCGCCCACCTGTGAAGCACATAAGGCAGGGAGTGTATTCTTGAAGTGAGATAGTGATTGTTGGCCGCTGCTTCCGTCCGTCTCTCTCAGGCGCACCCACGAGGGCGTGTCGCTGCCCCCCGGCATGCCATGCAGCTGCACTTGCCCTCCCACCTGGCATGGGGGCAGAAAGAAGTGGGGAGAAGTGGGGAGAATTGGGGAGAATTGGGGAGAAGTGGGGAGAATTGGGGAGAATTGGGGAGAATTGGGGAGAATTGGGGAGAATTGGGGAGAATTGGGGAGAATTGGGGAGAAGTGGGGAGAATTGGGGAGAATTGGGGAGAATTGGGGAGAATTGGGGAGAATTGGGGAGAATTGGGGAGAATTGGGGAGAAGTGGGGAGAATTGGGGAGAAGTGGGGAGAATTGGGGAGAATTGGGGAGAATTGGGGAGAATTGGGGAGAATTGGGGAGAATTGGGGAGAATTGGGCGTTGGCCGTCTCACTCAGGTGCACCCACGAGGGCGTGTCGCTGCCGCCCGGCATGCCGTGGAACGCCACCTGCCCGCCCACCTGAGGAGAAACATGAGAGGTACAACATAATACATTTATAAATGGAGTTATGCAGGTCAATGGGTTGTGGGTGTGTCGCTGCCGCCGCCCGGCATGCCATGGAACTGCACCTGACCGCCCACCTGAAAAGAGACATGGGGCAAGCAGGAGCATAACTTTGCCACCCGGCATGCCGTGAAATTGCACCTGGCCGGCCAACTAATTGATGGTTTAGAGAAAACAGAGATTCTGAAATGAAATTTGATTCTGAAGACAACAGAAATTTGATTTGGTGACAGATGCAGTGTTTAATATCTGCCTCCTCCACCCGGCATCGCCGCATCCGCCAACACGAGCTGTGTCAGCAGAAAAGGCTTGGCAACCCCCCGTCTAAGCTCTAGGTCTCGCGTCACCGCATCCCACAACGCACCACGATGAACGCCTTGTGCCCTAAATCGCGAGGGTTCGCCGCATCCGCCGGAGCGAGCTTCTTAAGCATGTACGGCTTGCGGTCCCCCGGGGAACAGGGCTTGCAGGCAACTCCCCTCTTTCTTCTAAGTCAACGGTCAATCCCCACACGACATACCACGATGAACGCCTTGTGACCCAGGTCGCGAGGGTTCGCAGGGTCCGCCGGAGCGAGCTTCTTAAGCATGTACGGCTTGCGGTCCCCCGGGGAACAGGGCTTGCAGGCAACTCCCCTCTTTCTTCTAAGTCAACGGTCAATCCCCACACGACATACCACGATGAACGCCTTGTGACCCAGGTCGCGAGGGTTCGCAGGGTCCGCCGGAGCGAGCTTCTTAAGCATGTACGGCTTGCGGTCCCCCGGGGAACAGGGCTTGCAGGCAACTCCCCTCTTTCTTCTAAGTCAACGGTCAATCCCCACACGACATACCACGATGAACGCCTTGTGACCCAGGTCGCGAGGGTTCGCAGGGTCCGCCGGAGCGAGCTTCTTAAGCATGTACGGCTTGCGGTCCCCCGGGGAACAGGGCTTGCAGGCAACTCCCCTCTTTCTTCTAAGTCAACGGTCAATCCCCACACGACATACCACGATGAACGCCTTGTGACCCAGGTCGCGAGGGTTCGCAGGGTCCGCCGGAGCGAGCTTCTTAAGCATGTACGGCTTGCGGTCCCCCGGGGAACAGGGCTTGCAGGCAACTCCCCTCTTTCTTCTAAGTCAACGGTCAATCCCCACACGACATACCACGATGAACGCCTTGTGACCCAGGTCGCGAGGGTTCGCAGGGTCCGCCGGAGCGAGCTTCTTAAGCATGTACGGCTTGCGGTCCCCCGGGGAACAGGGCTTGCAGGCAACTCCCCTCTTTCTTCTAAGTCAACGGTCAATCCCCACACGACATACCACGATGAACGCCTTGTGACCCAGGTCGCGAGGGTTCGCAGGGTCCGCCGGAGCGAGCTTCTTAAGCATGTACGGCTTGCGGTCCCCCGGGGAACAGGGCTTGCAGGCAACTCCCCTCTTTCTTCTAAGTCAACGGTCAATCCCCACACGACATACCACGATGAACGCCTTGTGACCCAGGTCGCGAGGGTTCGCAGGGTCCGCCGGAGCGAGCTTCTTAAGCATGTACGGCTTGCGGTCCCCCGGGGAACAGGGCTTGCAGGCAACTCCCCTCTTTCTTCTAAGTCAACGGTCAATCCCCACACGACATACCACGATGAACGCCTTGTGACCCAGGTCGCGAGGGTTCGCAGGGTCCGCCGGAGCGAGCTTCTTAAGCATGTACGGCTTGCGGTCCCCCGGGGAACAGGGCTTGCAGGCAACTCCCCTCTTTCTTCTAAGTCAACGGTCAATCCCCACACGACATACCACGATGAACGCCTTGTGACCCAGGTCGCGAGGGTTCGCAGGGTCCGCCGGAGCGAGCTTCTTAAGCATGTACGGCTTGCGGTCCCCCGGGGAACAGGGCTTGCAGGCAACTCCCCTCTTTCTTCTAAGTCAACGGTCAATCCCCACACGACATACCACGATGAACGCCTTGTGACCCAGGTCGCGAGGGTTCGCAGGGTCCGCCGGAGCGAGCTTCTTAAGCATGTACGGCTTGCGGTCCCCCGGGGAACAGGGCTTGCAGGCAACTCCCCTCTTTCTTCTAAGTCAACGGTCAATCCCCACACGACATACCACGATGAACGCCTTGTGACCCAGGTCGCGAGGGTTCGCAGGGTCCGCCGGAGCGAGCTTCTTAAGCATGTACGGCTTGCGGTCCCCCGGGGAACAGGGCTTGCAGGCAACTCCCCTCTTTCTTCTAAGTCAACGGTCAATCCCCACACGACATACCACGATGAACGCCTTGTGACCCAGGTCGCGAGGGTTCGCAGGGTCCGCCGGAGCGAGCTTCTTAAGCATGTACGGCTTGCGGTCCCCCGGGGAACAGGGCTTGCAGGCAACTCCCCTCTTTCTTCTAAGTCAACGGTCAATCCCCACACGACATACCACGATGAACGCCTTGTGACCCAGGTCGCGAGGGTTCGCAGGGTCCGCCGGAGCGAGCTTCTTAAGCATGTACGGCTTGCGGTCCCCCGGGGAACAGGGCTTGCAGGCAACTCCCCTCTTTCTTCTAAGTCAACGGTCAATCCCCACACGACATACCACGATGAACGCCTTGTGACCCAGGTCGCGAGGGTTCGCAGGGTCCGCCGGAGCGAGCTTCTTAAGCATGTACGGCTTGCGGTCCCCCGGGGAACAGGGCTTGCAGGCAACTCCCCTCTTTCTTCTAAGTCAACGGTCAATCCCCACACGACATACCACGATGAACGCCTTGTGACCCAGGTCGCGAGGGTTCGCAGGGTCCGCCGGAGCGAGCTTCTTAAGCATGTACGGCTTGCGGTCCCCCGGGGAACAGGGCTTGCAGGCAACTCCCCTCTTTCTTCTAAGTCAACGGTCAATCCCCACACGACATACCACGATGAACGCCTTGTGACCCAGGTCGCGAGGGTTCGCAGGGTCCGCCGGAGCGAGCTTCTTAAGCATGTACGGCTTGCGGTCCCCCGGGGAACAGGGCTTGCAGGCAACTCCCCTCTTTCTTCTAAGTCAACGGTCAATCCCCACACGACATACCACGATGAACGCCTTGTGACCCAGGTCGCGAGGGTTCGCAGGGTCCGCCGGAGCGAGCTTCTTAAGCATGTACGGCTTGCGGTCCCCCGGGGAACAGGGCTTGCAGGCAACTCCCCTCTTTCTTCTAAGTCAACGGTCAATCCCCACACGACATACCACGATGAACGCCTTGTGACCCAGGTCGCGAGGGTTCGCAGGGTCCGCCGGAGCGAGCTTCTTAAGCATGTACGGCTTGCGGTCCCCCGGGGAACAGGGCTTGCAGGCAACTCCCCTCTTTCTTCTAAGTCAACGGTCAATCCCCACACGACATACCACGATGAACGCCTTGTGACCCAGGTCGCGAGGGTTCGCAGGGTCCGCCGGAGCGAGCTTCTTAAGCATGTACGGCTTGCGGTCCCCCGGGGAACAGGGCTTGCAGGCAACTCCCCTCTTTCTTCTAAGTCAACGGTCAATCCCCACACGACATACCACGATGAACGCCTTGTGACCCAGGTCGCGAGGGTTCGCAGGGTCCGCCGGAGCGAGCTTCTTAAGCATGTACGGCTTGCGGTCCCCCGGGGAACAGGGCTTGCAGGCAACTCCCCTCTTTCTTCTAAGTCAACGGTCAATCCCCACACGACATACCACGATGAACGCCTTGTGACCCAGGTCGCGAGGGTTCGCAGGGTCCGCCGGAGCGAGCTTCTTAAGCATGTACGGCTTGCGGTCCCCCGGGGAACAGGGCTTGCAGGCAACTCCCCTCTTTCTTCTAAGTCAACGGTCAATCCCCACACGACATACCACGATGAACGCCTTGTGACCCAGGTCGCGAGGGTTCGCAGGGTCCGCCGGAGCGAGCTTCTTAAGCATGTACGGCTTGCGGTCCCCCGGGGAACAGGGCTTGCAGGCAACTCCCCTCTTTCTTCTAAGTCAACGGTCAATCCCCACACGACATACCACGATGAACGCCTTGTGACCCAGGTCGCGAGGGTTCGCAGGGTCCGCCGGAGCGAGCTTCTTAAGCATGTACGGCTTGCGGTCCCCCGGGGAACAGGGCTTGCAGGCAACTCCCCTCTTTCTTCTAAGTCAACGGTCAATCCCCACACGACATACCACGATGAACGCCTTGTGACCCAGGTCGCGAGGGTTCGCAGGGTCCGCCGGAGCGAGCTTCTTAAGCATGTACGGCTTGCGGTCCCCCGGGGAACAGGGCTTGCAGGCAACTCCCCTCTTTCTTCTAAGTCAACGGTCAATCCCCACACGACATACCACGATGAACGCCTTGTGACCCAGGTCGCGAGGGTTCGCAGGGTCCGCCGGAGCGAGCTTCTTAAGCATGTACGGCTTGCGGTCCCCCGGGGAACAGGGCTTGCAGGCAACTCCCCTCTTTCTTCTAAGTCAACGGTCAATCCCCACACGACATACCACGATGAACGCCTTGTGACCCAGGTCGCGAGGGTTCGCAGGGTCCGCCGGAGCGAGCTTCTTAAGCATGTACGGCTTGCGGTCCCCCGGGGAACAGGGCTTGCAGGCAACTCCCCTCTTTCTTCTAAGTCAACGGTCAATCCCCACACGACATACCACGATGAACGCCTTGTGACCCAGGTCGCGAGGGTTCGCAGGGTCCGCCGGAGCGAGCTTCTTAAGCATGTACGGCTTGCGGTCCCCCGGGGAACAGGGCTTGCAGGCAACTCCCCTCTTTCTTCTAAGTCAACGGTCAATCCCCACACGACATACCACGATGAACGCCTTGTGACCCAGGTCGCGAGGGTTCGCAGGGTCCGCCGGAGCGAGCTTCTTAAGCATGTACGGCTTGCGGTCCCCCGGGGAACAGGGCTTGCAGGCAACTCCCCTCTTTCTTCTAAGTCAACGGTCAATCCCCACACGACATACCACGATGAACGCCTTGTGACCCAGGTCGCGAGGGTTCGCAGGGTCCGCCGGAGCGAGCTTCTTAAGCATGTACGGCTTGCGGTCCCCCGGGGAACAGGGCTTGCAGGCAACTCCCCTCTTTCTTCTAAGTCAACGGTCAATCCCCACACGACATACCACGATGAACGCCTTGTGACCCAGGTCGCGAGGGTTCGCAGGGTCCGCCGGAGCGAGCTTCTTAAGCATGTACGGCTTGCGGTCCCCCGGGGAACAGGGCTTGCAGGCAACTCCCCTCTTTCTTCTAAGTCAACGGTCAATCCCCACACGACATACCACGATGAACGCCTTGTGACCCAGGTCGCGAGGGTTCGCAGGGTCCGCCGGAGCGAGCTTCTTAAGCATGTACGGCTTGCGGTCCCCCGGGGAACAGGGCTTGCAGGCAACTCCCCTCTTTCTTCTAAGTCAACGGTCAATCCCCACACGACATACCACGATGAACGCCTTGTGACCCAGGTCGCGAGGGTTCGCAGGGTCCGCCGGAGCGAGCTTCTTAAGCATGTACGGCTTGCGGTCCCCCGGGGAACAGGGCTTGCAGGCAACTCCCCTCTTTCTTCTAAGTCAACGGTCAATCCCCACACGACATACCACGATGAACGCCTTGTGACCCAGGTCGCGAGGGTTCGCAGGGTCCGCCGGAGCGAGCTTCTTAAGCATGTACGGCTTGCGGTCCCCCGGGGAACAGGGCTTGCAGGCAACTCCCCTCTTTCTTCTAAGTCAACGGTCAATCCCCACACGACATACCACGATGAACGCCTTGTGACCCAGGTCGCGAGGGTTCGCAGGGTCCGCCGGAGCGAGCTTCTTAAGCATGTACGGCTTGCGGTCCCCCGGGGAACAGGGCTTGCAGGCAACTCCCCTCTTTCTTCTAAGTCAACGGTCAATCCCCACACGACATACCACGATGAACGCCTTGTGACCCAGGTCGCGAGGGTTCGCAGGGTCCGCCGGAGCGAGCTTCTTAAGCATGTACGGCTTGCGGTCCCCCGGGGAACAGGGCTTGCAGGCAACTCCCCTCTTTCTTCTAAGTCAACGGTCAATCCCCACACGACATACCACGATGAACGCCTTGTGACCCAGGTCGCGAGGGTTCGCAGGGTCCGCCGGAGCGAGCTTCTTAAGCATGTACGGCTTGCGGTCCCCCGGGGAACAGGGCTTGCAGGCAACTCCCCTCTTTCTTCTAAGTCAACGGTCAATCCCCACACGACATACCACGATGAACGCCTTGTGACCCAGGTCGCGAGGGTTCGCAGGGTCCGCCGGAGCGAGCTTCTTAAGCATGTACGGCTTGCGGTCCCCCGGGGAACAGGGCTTGCAGGCAACTCCCCTCTTTCTTCTAAGTCAACGGTCAATCCCCACACGACATACCACGATGAACGCCTTGTGACCCAGGTCGCGAGGGTTCGCAGGGTCCGCCGGAGCGAGCTTCTTAAGCATGTACGGCTTGCGGTCCCCCGGGGAACAGGGCTTGCAGGCAACTCCCCTCTTTCTTCTAAGTCAACGGTCAATCCCCACACGACATACCACGATGAACGCCTTGTGACCCAGGTCGCGAGGGTTCGCAGGGTCCGCCGGAGCGAGCTTCTTAAGCATGTACGGCTTGCGGTCCCCCGGGGAACAGGGCTTGCAGGCAACTCCCCTCTTTCTTCTAAGTCAACGGTCAATCCCCACACGACATACCACGATGAACGCCTTGTGACCCAGGTCGCGAGGGTTCGCAGGGTCCGCCGGAGCGAGCTTCTTAAGCATGTACGGCTTGCGGTCCCCCGGGGAACAGGGCTTGCAGGCAACTCCCCTCTTTCTTCTAAGTCAACGGTCAATCCCCACACGACATACCACGATGAACGCCTTGTGACCCAGGTCGCGAGGGTTCGCAGGGTCCGCCGGAGCGAGCTTCTTAAGCATGTACGGCTTGCGGTCCCCCGGGGAACAGGGCTTGCAGGCAACTCCCCTCTTTCTTCTAAGTCAACGGTCAATCCCCACACGACATACCACGATGAACGCCTTGTGACCCAGGTCGCGAGGGTTCGCAGGGTCCGCCGGAGCGAGCTTCTTAAGCATGTACGGCTTGCGGTCCCCCGGGGAACAGGGCTTGCAGGCAACTCCCCTCTTTCTTCTAAGTCAACGGTCAATCCCCACACGACATACCACGATGAACGCCTTGTGACCCAGGTCGCGAGGGTTCGCAGGGTCCGCCGGAGCGAGCTTCTTAAGCATGTACGGCTTGCGGTCCCCCGGGGAACAGGGCTTGCAGGCAACTCCCCTCTTTCTTCTAAGTCAACGGTCAATCCCCACACGACATACCACGATGAACGCCTTGTGACCCAGGTCGCGAGGGTTCGCAGGGTCCGCCGGAGCGAGCTTCTTAAGCATGTACGGCTTGCGGTCCCCCGGGGAACAGGGCTTGCAGGCAACTCCCCTCTTTCTTCTAAGTCAACGGTCAATCCCCACACGACATACCACGATGAACGCCTTGTGACCCAGGTCGCGAGGGTTCGCAGGGTCCGCCGGAGCGAGCTTCTTAAGCATGTACGGCTTGCGGTCCCCCGGGGAACAGGGCTTGCAGGCAACTCCCCTCTTTCTTCTAAGTCAACGGTCAATCCCCACACGACATACCACGATGAACGCCTTGTGACCCAGGTCGCGAGGGTTCGCAGGGTCCGCCGGAGCGAGCTTCTTAAGCATGTACGGCTTGCGGTCCCCCGGGGAACAGGGCTTGCAGGCAACTCCCCTCTTTCTTCTAAGTCAACGGTCAATCCCCACACGACATACCACGATGAACGCCTTGTGACCCAGGTCGCGAGGGTTCGCAGGGTCCGCCGGAGCGAGCTTCTTAAGCATGTACGGCTTGCGGTCCCCCGGGGAACAGGGCTTGCAGGCAACTCCCCTCTTTCTTCTAAGTCAACGGTCAATCCCCACACGACATACCACGATGAACGCCTTGTGACCCAGGTCGCGAGGGTTCGCAGGGTCCGCCGGAGCGAGCTTCTTAAGCATGTACGGCTTGCGGTCCCCCGGGGAACAGGGCTTGCAGGCAACTCCCCTCTTTCTTCTAAGTCAACGGTCAATCCCCACACGACATACCACGATGAACGCCTTGTGACCCAGGTCGCGAGGGTTCGCAGGGTCCGCCGGAGCGAGCTTCTTAAGCATGTACGGCTTGCGGTCCCCCGGGGAACAGGGCTTGCAGGCAACTCCCCTCTTTCTTCTAAGTCAACGGTCAATCCCCACACGACATACCACGATGAACGCCTTGTGACCCAGGTCGCGAGGGTTCGCAGGGTCCGCCGGAGCGAGCTTCTTAAGCATGTACGGCTTGCGGTCCCCCGGGGAACAGGGCTTGCAGGCAACTCCCCTCTTTCTTCTAAGTCAACGGTCAATCCCCACACGACATACCACGATGAACGCCTTGTGACCCAGGTCGCGAGGGTTCGCAGGGTCCGCCGGAGCGAGCTTCTTAAGCATGTACGGCTTGCGGTCCCCCGGGGAACAGGGCTTGCAGGCAACTCCCCTCTTTCTTCTAAGTCAACGGTCAATCCCCACACGACATACCACGATGAACGCCTTGTGACCCAGGTCGCGAGGGTTCGCAGGGTCCGCCGGAGCGAGCTTCTTAAGCATGTACGGCTTGCGGTCCCCCGGGGAACAGGGCTTGCAGGCAACTCCCCTCTTTCTTCTAAGTCAACGGTCAATCCCCACACGACATACCACGATGAACGCCTTGTGACCCAGGTCGCGAGGGTTCGCAGGGTCCGCCGGAGCGAGCTTCTTAAGCATGTACGGCTTGCGGTCCCCCGGGGAACAGGGTTCGTCCGACCCACCTTTCCACGCGCACTCTCTTCCCCCCACTCTCTTCCACGCGCAACCCCCCGTCTAAGCTCTAGGTCTCGCGTCACCGCATCCCACAACGCACCACGATGAACGCCTTGTGCCCTAAATCGCGGGGATTCGCCGCATCCGCCGGGGGAAGCTTCTTCAGCATGTACGGCTTGCGGTCCCCGGGGAAGAGGGTGAAGGTGAGGCGGCTCGAGAAATGGCGGCTCGGCTCGCCGGCAGTCAGCCGGCCCATCACGACGACGAAATGCGCGTTGACGTTGATCCGCGGGAGCGACGGCGAGTCGAGAACTCTGCGGGGATAAGAGAGGGGAGGGAAGAAGAGGGGGGATCGAGGGGGGGTAAGTAAAGGGGGAAGGGAGGTTGATTCAGCTCGCCCGCCGTGAGGCGCCCCATCACGACGATGAAATGCGCGTTTACATCGATCTTAGGGTGCGATGGCGAGTCGAGCACCCTGGGGAGAGGGGGTTGTGGGAAACGCGGAGATGGAAGGGAAATGGAGGTTGATTTGCCTTGGTCCGGCTCGCCCGCCGTAAGCCGGCCCATCACGACGATGAAATGCGCGTTTACGTTGATCCGCGGGAGCGACGGGGAATCGAGAACTCTGCGGTGGGGGAAATGGGGAGAGCGGAAGAGGGGAGGAAGGGGGGAGAGAGAGAAGGAACAACGACGATGAAATGCGCGGCTCAATCTGTAGAGAGGCAGATCTGAATGTCTCACACCTGAGTCGACGCCAAACTAGCGCGACTCACTTGAACCTGCCCTTACGGCGAGCTGACTTTTGAGTCGACTCAAAAGTCAGCCTAGCGAGGCTCACTTGAACCAGCCCTTATAAGGGCGAGCGGAAAGGGGGGAAGTGGGGGTGGGGGCGGAGCGGGGTTGAGTGGGGGGACGGTTGGGGGGAGTCGGGAGCGGGGAGCGGAGGACGGGCCAGCGAGACTCACTTGAGCCAGCCCTTAACGGTGAGCGTCTTCACGCTTATATCGGGTACGTCGAGCAGAATCGAGACGCCGCACGGGATCGTGACGTCCACCCATTTCCGCAGCCCGTGCCCCGGCACGCCCAAGAAGCGCGTCTTGACGCCCCACGTGCGCCAATCGCTCCACCGCTTCCATCCTGAAATCGCGGAAGGTCGGCGGCGGGAGAGGTGGGGAGGGGGGAAGCGGGAGGAAGAAGTGGTGAAGGGGAAAGTCGGGAAGGGGTAGATCCGCTTCCGAAATAACGCAATCGCTACCCTCTCCCTCCTCCTCCCCTCCTTCCCCACCACTCATTTCTTTAGTCGGACTCAAAACCACTCAATTCAAACCGCGGCGGCCCTTACCTTAGGCTACTGGGCCCGTCCGCATGGGTGCTTTTTGCGGCGCCAAAACGATCGACTTACCCATGGCTGCGGGTTTGGTCATGACTTGTCCAGCCTGCATTTTGGGAACTAGTTTTGAGACATCCCAAGACTAGCCTTATCTCACGTAGCCGCGGCGGCGCTTGCATTGGCTCCGGGTGTCGGCAAGAGCCCGCGTGGCGGCTTGAACTCGTCCGTCGCACTAAACGAAACGATCCCGCAAGCTAGTGGCCTCACAGGCTGTATAACTTGACAGCGCCGAAAATAGGCTGTGCGGCGCTTACCGTTGGCTACGGGCGTCGGCAAGAGCCCCGTGGCGGCTTGAACTCGTCAGAGTCTTGAAACGATCCCGCAAGCTAGTGGTGTCACATGCTGTATAACTTGACAGCGCCCGTAACAGTGTATTGAGACGTCTCAAAGCTTGAACTCGTTGGTGTCTCTAAACGGACCCGCAAGCTCGTGGCGTCACAGGCTTTATAACTTGAAAGCACCAACACTAGGGTGTGCAGTGCTTACCGCCTGCTCCGGGTGCCGTCATCAGCCCACATGGCGGCTTGAACTCGTCCGTCGCTTTAAAGGCGGTTGCTTCCGCTGAGTCCACGTGGCACGCTGCTACGAGCGCAAGCGCGAGCGCCGCGGAGAATAGCAGGCCGCGCTGACCAGCGGCGCGCGAGAACTGCGGCGGCCGCGGCACGCAACGTCGTTGCCGCCGCAAATTGCGCTGCTTCGATTCGAAATTCCTGACCCACATGTCGGTTTTCACGTCTTTGATCTTGGAAAAGGCGCGCCTTCGAGATTGAAAGCGGTTACGTGACTTTGTGGATAAAACCGAGTTTTGAGGGAGCTGAAAACGAGTGTTTCACTCCACCCCTAAGTTATATTAGCGGAACTAAAAGAGGCAGTTACAGGGATCTACACGAAGCACGACTTTCGATGCTGCGCTGTCGGGGACGAGCGGGGGAGTAAATTGCGGAAGAGCGGTTGCGCAGGGGGGCGAATAGCGGCAAGCGACTAGCGGGAACTACCCGACCCGAATGCTTTATTCCTGACACTGATGACACGCCCGAGTGTCTCGGTTCAGCCGCAGGTCGACGCACTGACTACTACGAGCTCGGGGACGACTTGTAGTAGTAGTAGTTAATTGTGACTGCCCGCGTATGGCGGCCAATCACGTAAGATCACTGCTATTTAAAAACTACGAGTCTACGACGTCGTAGTCTCCTCTAGCTCAAGTCGACGACCGTGAACGAGCTGGCCGTTTGCTACGAGTACGCCGCGAGACGAGACGGCGACGGAGATCGTCGCCAGACGTGTGCCGTCCGTCGCATGACGAGAGAGAGTGACGCTTGGTTGCGTCGCACAAAAACAGGCGGCAGTGAGCTGCCGCCAACTCGGCTTGCTTGTTTGGTAGTCGTCCACTGTACACTACTGTTTCGTGAAGGAAACCATGATGTATAGCATGTACAAACTCTACTGGTTTCTAGAGACCATTGTCCACAAAATCGGCTGACAATACTCTGGAAGGTGTTGGTTTGGGCTCCTCCATTACGTTGGACGTGGCGGTTTTATATGTTGCAACGAGCACAAATTCAGCGGCATGCAAGAGCGGGAGAGCAGGGAGGTACGGAAGGAAGAAGGGGCGGTGATTCCAAGGGAACGCAACGACGGTTACGATTAGCCCAGGGCATTCGCCCGCTTTCCAATTGTTGATTTTTCACCGTCTGTTTCATACAGATGGCGATCCGACATGGATGGATCTTGGGGAAGGAAGGGCGAAAGGAGAATGCTGCGTTGGAAACAAACCGTGCTGAGAGGTACCGTACGGTCGTGGTAGGTGCGACGTCGCGCCCGCTGAGAAATCCAGAGCGATACATTGCTTTGCGAAGAATAGATTTATCGCTACTAGCGCGGTTACAGCTCAAGCCAAGCCTGAAACCGCCGAGCTAAGCGGAGTCGGCCGTCCGCGCCGCGTCGCAATTCGCACTTCGCGTTTGGGCAGCCTTCAGGGGCGGGCTTCGACAAATTTCAGCCAACGGCGGGGGCCCATTCATGTACGCGGGCATATCCATGCAGTTGCCCACTTTCGCGATAAGAACAATGCACATGTCTAACTGGCGTCCAACAAAGATTAAGAAATACGCGAACCGTGGTGCGAAGCGCTCTTATTGGCGTCCAAGCCGAAAAAACACACGTTGGAGTTTCGCACGAGGTTCGGTATCTCTAGAGTTGACAAATCAAGCCTGCAGAGATGGCTTGGTGACGGCAACTGCCCGTGTCATTCAACACGAGTTACACTTTCTGGCATTTGATAATGATTATTAGCCAGTACACTAATTATATTGATGCAAATTTAATCTATCTAGCTATACCCAGCATTGTCTCTTGCTATTTGTTTCCTACTCGTGCTAAACTCTTGACTAGGCCTCATACTTGTCATTCCATTTGCCTGTTTACTAAGCCTGGATGCTAAGGAGAGAATCATGCTGTACCATAAACAGTAAGATAGTTTTTAAGCCCGTGAGTATGTGTGTGATGAAACAACGGGATGTGAAAGTTACGAGACTGGGTAATGCATATGAGAATGTACAGCTCGATGAAGGCTTCAATCAGTTCAGCTTCTCTTTCTGTATATAAACAATAGCAGGGACATACCAAGTGAATGTGTGGTACCGAATAAAGCAAGCCAAAATAACTACATTTGCTCCAAGGAACACTATACCAGCAGCCCAAAGGGGCAGCATGCAAGAATACCCCCCAAATTCAAGGTAATATGCCCACCAGAGCCAGTACGACTGGCCGGCAAGCCACAGAATAAGACAAAAACCGCCGATGCTTTGGAGGCGGAGTGAGGTGAAGGGAAGGATGAGGGGGAGGAGGAAGAGGAACCAGACAAAGTACTGTGAGGTTATCACCTGGGAGGAATGGGGGAGAAAGGGAAGGAGAAATGGGTAATGTGAAAGGGAATGGGGGAAGGAAGGAGGGGAAAGGGAAGGGGAGGATGAGGGGGAGGAGGAAGAGGAACCAGACAAAGTGCTACGATGTTATCACCTGGGAAAGGGGGGACACGGGAAGGGGGATGTGAGAAGGAAGGGGAAGGAAAAAGGGAAGCGGAAGGGGAAAGAGACGGGAAAGGGGAAGGAGAAGGAGAATGGAGAAGAGAACAGGAAACGGGGAAAGTGAATGGGGGAAGGAAGGAGGGAGTCCCAGGGAAGGAGCAAAGGAACGAAGATTCCATTACAAGGGGAGGATTTGCATGCAGGACAAAAGAAACAACACTGGGCAATGACTGAGCAACTGCTATCTGGAATGGCCAAAAAGAGCAAGTTCACTCCAATGGAAAAAAAGGGAACAGTGTAGTCGATTATCACAGAAAGGATAATGGCTGTAAAGGGATGCCATATAGTAACAAATGTACCTTATTGAAGGCCACAAAGGCAAACGTTTGGGCAAAGAGGCAGAAGGGAAGGTCCTGAAAAAACTTTATGGAGAAGGTGAGCTGCAGCAGACTCCGTTTATCATAATCAGGCACGTACCTTATTAAACGCAACAAAGGCGAACGTCTGTGCGAAGAGGCAGAAGGGAAGGTCCTGAAAAAACTTGATGGAGAAGGTGAGCTGCAGCAGCAGCTGTGGCAGAAAGGAGAGAATCCGGTTTGCGACAGATGGCGCTCCCTGATTGGTCATCTGTCATGAAGCAGAGAGCAGAGAGGAACGAGGGACAACCATCAAAGTGATACAGGATATGGACATATTTGGAATTAAAAATATACGACACCCACAGCAGCAGACCCATGGCATTCCCATATACATCTCACGACACTATGACATGAAGTATGGTGTGAGAAATGGAGAAATATGGCATGACAAAAAGCACCTAGACTGTTAGATAAGGCCATGCAGAAATGCATACCAGGTAAATTGCATAGAAGTGAGTTGAGAAGTTGTGGCGATGGTCCGATCGGGACGCATGGTAAAGCAGCGACTCGTTAAGAAACTGATCCCCATACAGTCTCCAGCACAGCGCTGTAACGAGGATGAAAGTTCCGCCCGAAACCACTCCAAACTCTACCGGCAATCGAAGGCCCTTGACGAGCCGAGACAGTGATCTGGCTGTAAGAGCAGCTTTAGCTGATTCTTGTCCTGACTTGGAGCTAGCTGTAGCAGCAGCTGTAGCAGGGATGGCAGAATTGGGTGGTGGTGAGCTGGCGCTCCTGGAACTACTGCGGTTTGTAGGTTGCTCCGTAGCTGGCACACAGCTGCTGTCACTGGGATCGTCACGTTTAAGGTTGCTTTGAAGCGGATAAGTGTGGAAGAGGTAGAGGACAAATGGCAGAGCGTAGATTATCGGGTAGACTCGGAAATGCACCACGATGCCGAACCAAAAAGCAGCAGAAATTATATGGCCTGCCGGGGGAAGGAGGGGGAGGGAAGAGGAGGGAAAGCAGGAGAGGAGGGGAGAGAGAAAGGAAGTGACAAACCATGTGAAAGAGTTATTCACGAATCAAACGAGAGAACAAAAACAATGTACCGTGCAGTAGTCCCAGCAGCACTTGCAAGAGTAGAGCAGCAGGAAGGGCGTCAAAGTTGTCCTTTCTCCTCCGGTATAATGTGAGTCGTCGCTATAAATCCCTTCCCTCCTTTAATAACACAAAACTACAGCCTAAGTACATACCCTGCAGCAGTTCCAGCACCATTTGAAGGCTGAAAGCAGCAGCTAGAGCGTCATAAGTGTCCCCATTTTACCGGATTCCATCTTGCGTCATCTCGTCTGTATGAAACCCTTCTCACTCCATTTAAAGCCCGCGGCCCAAATTGCGGGCCGCGCGGGTCAAGTTTTTAAAACTTGATGAAGTGCCCTGTTCAAGCTTTGAAAGGTACCGCTGGTGCAATTTGGGACTTTCCAAGTCCAACACACCCACTAGGGAGAAATCGAGGGGCCTTTTGGGTTTGGCGAAAAAAACGAATTTGACGAAATGAAAAACACTCGCCAAAACCCAAACCTCAAAAACTCCCTCTCGTCATCTTTTTAAAACTTGTGCAATTTGGGCTGCCGGCTTTAACAAAACAATAATACATACATACCCTGCAGCAGTCCCAGTAGCACTTGCAGGATGAGAGCAGCAGCAAGGGCGTCACAGTTGCCACGTGTCGCAATGGTGACTGTGAAGGGGTTGAAGAGCCACGTGGCAGCACACAGGACTGCCACGCGGTCGGAGATGCCACGTAGGAGCAGGAGTGATCGGATCTGATGGCCCACCAGGAGATCTGGCAAAGGAAGGGAAACCAAGGGATGGAATGCATGACTGAATACATTGAAAGTGATTCACTGAATGCTTGATTCAATGCTGGACTGATAACCCTGAAGAAATACCGTGTGCCTGACTGAATGTTTGACTGATTGACTGACTGATTGCCTGACTGAATGTCAGACGGACTATTTCTTTGAATGTCTGACTGCACTTAATGACAAACGACCCGATTGTATGTCTTTCGAACGCCTGACAAAAGCTTTCACAAACGCATCCACAGAGGGCACAGAGGGACACCATCTGCATCAGCTGCACCCCCTGCGGAAAAAGAAGCTTACCTAAAACAAGTGTTCCATGTCAACTTACCCGCTCCCGAAAACACCAGTTTCCCCCAGAGCCGGTGTTTCTTAAGCCACTGACCTCTCCAAATCGACTAAGAAACACACTAAATCAACTCACCAGCTCCCGAAAACAGCAGCTTTCCCCAGAGCCGGTGAACCAGGACGTTCGGCACGAGAATCCACGCGAGCAGCGGCGAATAGCGGTACGTGTAACGCTCGTACGGCGAACGACCTAGGGTAACCAGTCGAGCCGCGTCGGTGAACACCAAATAGTCTACATCCGTGTATTTGACCTCTAAATTCGCGTCCTCCCACTCGCCGAAGGCTATCATGAGCAGTCGCGCGACAGCGGAGAAGATTAAGAGCTTCCGCCATGACAAGTCCATCACGACGAAGGCGAAGCTGTCACTCGGGTAACCCGATCACAAACTACATTATTTACAGGACATTTTTTTGCGAGAAACAGAGCTGGGAGACGAACGGAAGTCCGAATAAATTCGCTGCAAAAAGCGGGAGAAACAAGGGTTCACACGAAGATACGAGGCATGATGAATTGGGGTTGATTCCTACGGTTCAGAGCGATCGAGTCGATGCTTAAAGCGGTTGAATGAGTTTTATATCGAATGCAGATACATCTTAGGGATTCGCTGTGAGCATTACGAGAATCTAAATATCGGATGGCTCGCTAAGAATTAATTTCGTATACTTCATCAGCCGTTACATTGCAAACTGCATTTCTAATTCACAAAAGAAGCACCAACAAGCAACATCACCAGCAGCCAAACCCTACGGCTCAGCTTATAATTTTCCACTCCCATCCGGCCAATCTCTCTACTCCTTGGCAGCAGGGGCAGCAGCCGGCTTGGCCTGCGATGCCCGCGAAGCCCTCTTCTTCGCCAGGGATTCCGACCGCCTCTCCCTCTGCTCCTTGATGCGCAGTGCCAGCAGCTTCTGGTAGTCGGCAGCAGCGGACTTGGCCTTGGCGACGCGCTGCTTCTTCTCTGCCAGGCGCGCGCGCTTGCGCTGCAGCTTCAGGGGCGTCACCAGCCGCTGAATGTTGGGGCCCTTGCTCTTCTTCTTGCCTGGGGGGGTTGGGTGAGGGGGGAAGAGAAAGGGGGGTGGAGAGAGGGAGAAGTAGGGGTGGACATGGATGGGCATGGAGCATAAGAGAGCTTGCGCTGCAGCTTCAGGGGCGTCACCAACCGCTGAATGTTGGGGCCCTTGCTCTTCTTCTTGCCTGGGGGGTTTGTGGGGCAGAGGGGAAAAGAGAAAGGGAGGAGGGAGGAACAAGGGTGGGCATGGAGGGCATCAGCGCTTGCGCTGCAGCTTCAGGGGGGTCACCAGCCGCTGAATGTTGGGGCCCTTGCTCTTCTTCTTGCCTGGTAAAGGAAAGGGGTTGGGGAAGAGGGAGAAACGAGGTAGGATATGAGGGCAAGCGAGCTTGCGCTGCAGCATGAGGGGTGTCACCAGGCGCTGTTGGGGCCTTTGCTCTTCTACTTGCCTGGGAGCATGAGGAGATGAGGTGGGAAAGGGGGAGGGGAGTTAACAGAGGTGAGAAAAATCAGAGATATGGGGGAAAACAGAGGCAAAGGGGATGTGACATAAATTCTATATGTTGAGGCCTGTTCTATTATTCTCCATGCTCCCCTCCCTCCTCTCATTACACTCACCCCCGTTACAGTCACACTCATCCTGACGTTATAACCACGATTCGTGATACGCACCCTTGGCGGTGGTCCACTTGCGGCGGTACGTGTTGACATACTTGGTCACATCGTCCTCCTTGCTCAGCGCGAACAGCCACAAACCCCACTCTCATCCCCGTTATAACCACGATTCGATATACGCACCCTTGGCGGTGGTCCACTTGCGGCGGTAGGTGTTGACATACTTGGTCACATCGTCCTCCTTGCTCAGCGCGAACAGCCACACTAAAACACTCTCTTCCCCGTTATAACCACGACTCGTTATACGTACCCTTGGCGGTGGTCCACTTGCGGCGGTACGTGTTGACATACTTGGTCACATCGTCCTCCTTGCTCAGCGCGAACAGCTTTCGGATCTTGGACGCCCTCTTGGGCCCGCGCAGGCGAGGCTTCTCAGCATCGGTCAGACCAGGCAGGTGGTTGTCGCCTGGTGGGGAAAGAGAAGGAATGGGTGGGTGGGAAAGGAAAGTAAGGGGAGTGTGAGGGGCAGAACGAACAGCTTTCGGATCTTGGACGCCCTCTTGGGCCCGCGCAGGCGCGGCTTCTCAGCATCGGTCAGACCAGGCAGGTGGTTGTCGCCTGGTGGGAGGGTGGGGGGAGGGGAAGGATGGTGTGTGTGGGGGATGGTGGGGAGACGGGGGAAGGAGGGAAGGGGAGGGTTGTGGAGAGGAAAAAGATTACGTTTTTACGTGCGTAATTTAACGCATCCAGCTACATAACCACCAGTATATGTCGCACCAACAGGTCATGGCTTACTTCATATGTGTACAAAACCGGAATCTTTGATTATAAAACGGCATGCAAACAACTTACCCTGCTTGACGATGACCAGGTTCAGCACGGACAGGTCCTGGCTGACTTCACATGTCTAACAACCAGAATTACCCAAATCATAAAGGGTGTACTGAAAACATACCCTGCTTGACGATGACCAGGTTCAGCACGGACAGGTCCTGGCTGACTTCACGTCTAAAACCAGAATTACCCGAATTACGAAGGGTGTACTGACAACGTACCCTGCTTGACGATGACCAGGTTCAGCACGGACAGGTCCTGGCTGACGATGCACCCGCGCACCGACTTTCTGCGCCGCTCCCCGTTGCGCCGGCCGTAGCCGCGGAAGCAGGGCACGCCTGATGCAAAGGGAGGAAGCGAATAGAGGAAGCGAATGGCGGGTGAGGGAGTTGGAGATGCGGTAGGGGAGGAGAGGGGGTGGAGAGAAGGGAGGAGGGAAGCGCGGAAGGAGGAAGGTGGTTTGAGTCAACGAATTGCATCAAAGCAACGTTAAGGGGGATTATGTGTGGAGGGACAGAAAGGAGGGAGAGGGGGTAAGAATAACGAAGAATGTGGCTTCAACGAGGGGATCAAAACTTACCACTGTCAAGGGGATTAGAACGCGGCCGAGTCTGAAATCATTTTGCTTCATGGGGAAACCGTCCTTGTAACGAGCAAAGACTGGAATCACCCTTACATATGAGGGCTAGAGTAGGAACTTACCCCTGTGCATGAGGATCTGGACGCGGCCAGGTGTGAGGACGCCTTGCTTCATGGGGAAACCATCCTTGTCGCACCCTCCCTTGATCTTGAAGACGTACCCCTTGAACTCCTGATGGTGGGGAGTGGGGGGAAGTGGGGGGGGAAGGAAAGAGGGCATATGCGAGCAAGAATGAGCAAGCAAGTATGAAGGAATTGGCCGTCCTTGTCGCACCCTCCCTTGATCTTGAAGACGTACCCCTTGAACTCCTGATGGTGGGAAGAGGGGGAAGGGGAAGGGGGAGAAATGAAGGATGAGCAAGGACGCAAGACGAATTTGACCGACTTAAAAACATCACGACACGATTGATTTAAAAAAAAAGGATCTCGCTGAACCCGTGCTCGCGCCTTCAGTTATGGTGGTGAGGAAAAGGGGACGTGTGGGGGTTGCAAGGACCACTTACATCGCCGAGGGAGTCGCCGCTGACCTCCTGTGAGATTCTCTTGTCGAAGAACGCACGCCTGCACGCCACGTGGATCGATAATAAGACACACGTGAGAAAACAGGGTGAATGGAGGGAAGTTGGAGGAATCGGTATTAGATTTTAACAATAACGGAAGGCCCTTTGAATGGGCAAAGAGGGGAAGGCAGACATACGGAAATCTCCAACAGTGTACTTTCTAGCCAACTCAGAAGCACCGCACTGGAACAACTGGAATCCTCATGCCTCCACCGTTCAGTCGTGTATGATTCGCCATTAGGTTAACAGAACTAAGGGGAGAACTAAGTGAATCGTCGGTGCAACAGCAAGCCAACGCTGGATGACCGATACAAACCGTACTACGCGTCGCATTTAGATGCTGGAAAAGGAAAGCTAGCAAACACATACAACAGTCTCCGAGATCCTCAGCAAATCTAGCATTACATACACTTGGAGCGCGGTCAGGTGTTGTCACCCCCTAGACGAACTGTTCCATCGTTGGGACCACTGTTCCACTAGGCGCGTCGCACAAGTACCCACCAATACTCTCGGCTTCATAACGAAAGGCGTTTCCCAGATTCCGCTCCCACACTGCTCTGGCCACCCCCCCATAGAGTCGTCGCGGTTATTTCACACGCTCCTCCGTATCGTCTGGTACCTACTGCCCTAATGGAAACGCGACCTCAGCAACTGAACCCTGTTTTACCGCTGTCAGAAATCGGATGACGGTCAAGCGTCCCGGACTTGGGTTAGGCTAAACCTGATGACCAATGGACCAATCGAAGAAGCGGAAGCTAACATCTATCTGCTAAGCCCGTGCCGCTTCCGACCAGGAACCTCGCATTTCCCCTTACACCTTAAGATCCGTATCCGAGCCGCCTGTTATTTTCCTGCAAAAAAATCTTGACGGCACTTACAGCTTGAGATCGTCATCGATTTCGACCTTCTTCTGGCACCCCGTCGTGGGGTTGGCAATGTTGAGCTGCAGAATCAAATAAAATCGCAGAACGGAAACGCAAAACCGTCAGTGCAGCTCACATGTGCGGCGAAAGAAAACCACTCTGCAGGATTGGTGACATTCCGTAGTAAACTGGAAAACACGATGGATTTTGGCAACTGCAAACGAGGGCCGACGGTGACGACGGTAACGTCGGGAAACCGAGAACGCGTCTCGAGATTCGTAAGTCACGGGGAGGCGAGGAAAAGGAGAAAGGTCGCGAGGACGGGTCGAACGCGGCAGACAAGGTGAACGTCCTGGAGCTACTAGATACGAGAGGTTTTAGGGAATTCACAAAAAGCTAAACCGTGCGACTCTACAATCTCGATGGGAACGGGCTAAGGAGCTCGTACGGGGAGTGCCATTACGATCCCATGGATCCGACGTGTTTCGCGCTCGAGTTAGCAACCCTAATCGCAGCTCACCTTCATGGTTGCGGAGCTCAGGCGCGAGGGAGGCGAGCGAGAAAAGGGTAAGGGAAAGGAAAGAGCAGAATAAAGTAGGCTTAGATTTTAGGGTTTGAGGGGAGCGAGGGAGGGGAACGGGGAAAGAGAGTGATGGGGAAGAAAGGCGGGGAACATATAACGGCGGGGAATGGGGAATATGTTCAGGGGGAGTGATGGGGGGAAGGGTTGAGGGAAAACGGGAAATGGGAAGCGGGAAATGGGAAGCAGAACATACATGGGATGTAGAATATATAAATTCGAAATGTATACATGAGAATTGTGCGCATTTCATCTGGTTTGGTAGTTTACGCCAGAGGAAACGCAATGCCTAAAAAACGAAGCCCTGCTGTCAGACGCGGAACCTCACGAAAAGGGTAGGTTTCGCCAAACTTTCGCGCCCATGTCGTTCGCTCTACGAAGAAACAAACCACAGCATCGCCGCCGTCCCCGCCACAGAACGGAACGGAACAGACTTGCGTGCCGAAGCCAACCTGTCAGCAGCGGCACCACACACAGTTTCCCGCGGCGCATTGATTTTGTTTGAGATTCACCACCAGGCGAGTCGCGCCGAATTTTGACTTTGTGGTTGGCGCGACGCGCTGCGTTTTCAATTCAAGCATTTCAATTTCTACGTCGGTGTTTCCCTCGAGGCTCCCGATTGTCTGTACGACCAGCAAAGTGCCTAATCAACCGTTTGTTAACGTAATTGAAACTTTCTGAAACGTAGCTCACCTTCTTAATCGCATACAAGAAGCGATTCAGAGAAGCCATTACCATTCGACCGCTGTTTCCCCACAGTTGATGCTGGGCACTCCCTCACCCACATCTTCAACCCACTTGATGCTTGTGACTGGGGTGAGCTGCAACATTCGATTGTTTGATGAGTGCTGGATGTAGGACGAAGACAAGCGAAGACGAATAACGTTCTTCAGTCCCACCCAGGCTTGTGCTGGCTTCATAGTCTTGTGCTAAACCTGCTGTAGCAGACGTTGTTCTCAAAAACAACTGGCCTGAGATGCCCATACTGAGCAACTTTCCTTTTACTTCCATGTGAAAACCGTGGACAGACCAGTCAATCTGTTAATTCGGTAAATTGGCAATCAATAGCTGTGCCTTCACGAGACCACTACAACGCCGTGGTTTGTTCTCAACCCGTGACCACAATGTCTCGTACTCGTCATAACTCCCAGCCTAGCCCTCACAATAGCTGTCAGTGTAAATCACGGCATTCAGCGGCCAGAGTACCAACTCGTTTCCGTTACAGACAAGCCATGTATAGAACAGCGAACACGTTTCCGTTTGTGCTACTCGCTAGTGTCCTATTCGCGCTCCTCCCCTCCGCATTTTCCGGCTCCTGTCCGGCTTTCGTCGGGGAGATGGCTGCATGCGGTGCCGCAACTTGCGGACGTTACGTCTTCAAGGGCGCGTTCGCAAACAGTCACCGCGACGTCGCGCAGTATCGCGTGCGATCCGCGCGCGACGGTTTGCGACTTGGGCGACGTGCAGCGCCTGCAGACTGTTGCCACATGTGTCGCCAGCAGCCGCAGTGCAGCTATTGGAACTTCCTCGCAGGTTCCGGCATTTGCTATCTGTACAGCAGCGGGATTTGCGCCGCGAATAACGGAATAAGCAACGTCTACTCTCCCAGGGAGCCCAATTCATAGTAAGCAGCGACTTCTTACGTCTTCTCGATTCAGTCTCAACAAGCCGTTGGCTGTAAAGTTTCGCCTCTTCTCCCTAACAACACGCCTATCACCGCTCTCTTGGAAGCACCTGTCACTAACTTCTGCCTTGCCCTCCTGAGTTTCCTCCTCCTTCTCCTCTATTTCTTGGTTCAATCTGCTCCTTGGCAGTGTGGGCGGTCGATGCAGCTGGCACGAGCAGCAAGAGTACAGATACCAAGGTGAGTCACCTTATAACGAGTACAGTTTACTGGCCTCTGTGGCTAATTGTCTCCTTCTTGAACCGTCTAAGCATTTCCCTCCCCCACGCCCTCCCCCTCCACCTCTTTCCCCGTCATCCACTCCTCCCCTATCAACAGCTCCGCCGGACCTCACTCTCCGACGCGCGCCTGCACGTCATCATGCGCCTCACGGGGTACCTCGATAACTTCTGAGGCGCCTCAAAAGTAGTCTTCACATCAACATTAACATGCGCCTCACGGGGTACCTCGATACCAACCGCTCACCCCCATCCCACCCCGTCTTTCACCCCCGCTCCTCCCCCCCCATGCGGCGGAGGTCGTTCCCCCCCGCGCGCCCCTACCAGCAGCTCCGCCCGACTTCCTTCTGCCTCGTGTCCGACGCCAACCTGTTTTCAATCACCCCCCCCCCGCCCCCACTCCGCCCCCCGTTTTCCCCGCTCCCTCCCCCCATGCAGCGGAGGTCGTTCCCCCGCGCGCCCTTACCAACAGTTGCGCCCGACGTCCTTCTGCCTCGTCTCCGACGCGCGCCTGCACACTTCCCCCCATCACGCCCAAACCGACTCACCGCCCCTCCTTCCCCCTTCTCCCCCCCTCCCTCCCGCCCTTCCTGCGCCCGACATCCTTCTGCCTGGTCTCCGACGCGCGCCTGCACACTTTCCCCCATCACTTCCAAACCGACATTCCGCCCCTCCTTCCCCCTTCTCCCCCCGCCCCCCCTCAACAGCGGAAGCTGTTCCCTCTGCGCGCCCCTGCCAGCAGCTGCGCCCGACACCCTTCTGCCTCGTCTCCGACACGCGCCTGTTATCAGTTTCCCCCGCTCACTCTTTCCCCCGTCCTCCCCCCCCCCACCAGCTCTTTCTTTCACAGCGGAATCTATTCCCCCCGCGCGCCCCTATCAACAGTTGCGCCCGACGTCCTTCTGCCTCGTCTCCGACGCGCGCCTGCACACTTCCCCCAATCACGTCCAAACCGACACTCCGCCCCTCCTTCTCCATTCTATCCCCGGCCCCCCTCAACAGCGGAAGCCGTTCCGCCCGCGCGCCCGTATCAACAGTTGCGCCCGACGTCCTTCTGCCTCGTCTCCGACGCGCGCCTGCACATCAACATGCGCCTCACGGGGTACCTCGATAACAACCGCTCCGATATAATGGCCGCGCTCGTCGCTGGCGCTAAAGTGCGCACGTGGATCAGGTGAGCCTAGGAGGGAGAGGGTGGGGGGAATCAGGGGACGGGTGGGGGGGTGGCTTTTGGGTCGACTCAAAGGTCGCTCCGATATAATGGCCGCGCTCGTCGCTGGCGCTAAAGTGCGCACGTGGATCAGGTGAGCTTAGGAAGGAGCGGAGGGGGGAAGCAGGGAAGGGGGTGGGGGGTGGCTTTCGAGTCGACTCAAAAGTCGCTCCGTTATTAATTGTTGCGCTCGTCGCTGGCGCTAAAGCGCGCACGTGGATCAGGTGAGGCGAGAGCGGGGATTTAAGTGGATCAAGTGGTGGTTTTAGATTGCGCTGCGCCCGACGTCCTTCTGCCTTCTGGTGGTTGTGAATTGTAAACCCATCATTTACCACATTACACCTCATTCGTGCCACAGGTGTTTTTTGAGTCGACTCAAAACACAGCCGAGAGTGGTGGTTGTAAATTGAGACAACACTTTTATCACGTAAATCCATCATTTACCACATTACACCTCATTCGTGCCGCATACCTTCGTTCCCACCAATCAGGGAGCTTGGATTCATATGGCGGACCAATCAGAAAGGCGGAAGCGGGGCGCAGCATTCTCTTCGGTTGGTCGCGAGACGCGGCCCGAAGCAGGAGCGCGGCGAGGGGTTCATGGGGCGAATCGAGGTGGACGGAATCGCGGTTCCGCGCCTGGGGGTGAGTGCACCGTGGTCGAAGGCGTATCTTTGGATATCGCAAAATTGCGTTATTGTGAATGAGATCAGGTGTTTTTGAAAATTCTTAACAACACCCTGCAGCATTTTGGAAATCTCAAGGATGAGGACTTGTAGATGAAATCAGGTCCGAGTTCTTCCCTCTTTCTCCTCCCCGCTCTCGTCCAACCTGTGCAGTTGGGCGACGAATAAAGCCTATTCGACGGAGAAGGCACCGTGGCGGCAAGAGAGAGATAAGGGAACTACGGCGTGTTTGCTTCTTGTCCATATTCCCCCTTCCCTCTTTCTTCCTTCCACCCCCTGCTCTCGTCCATCCTGTGCAGTTGGGCGACGAGCTAAGCCTATTCGAAGGAGAAGGCACCGTGACATACGCACGGCAGGAGAGGAGCGGCAACTACGACGTGGATGTGTATTCCGTCAAGCTGGCAGGGCTGCTGGAGGTGAGAACCCTCTGTGATCCAGTCTGGGTGAAGAAAGGGTCCATAGGGCAGGAGCGGCAACTATGATGTGGATGTGTATTCCGTCCAGCTGGCAGGGCTGCTGGAGGTGGGTGCATTGTGTGATACACTCACAATATAATTCATGGACTGGATGTGTGCTCTGTCAAGCTGGCAGGGCCTACTGGAGGTGCGTGTGTTGTGTAATACACACTTGATATCCATAATAGTATTGGTACATGTGACGAGGAACAGTAGGAGAGGAGCGTTGATGTGGATGTGAAATCTGTCAAACTCGTCCACATCCACGCTCTGGATGTGGATGTGTGGATATCAACTCACAGGGCTGCTGGAGGTATGTGCACCGTGAGAGGCGTCGAAACAACGTGCCTGTTTCGACAGGCCTTAGAAGCGCGCTCTGCTCCTTTCCCCGTGTTCACGTCTTTCACTGGGGCCCGCCTGGGGAGTATCCTTAAGAGTATCCTCAAAAAACTTGCTTTGATCTCTTCCTTGCGCTACCATCTTACAGGCGGAGGTTAGCCTGCGGCCAGCGCACCCTTTGGTGCAGGAAGAGGAAAAAGATGCTGAGGTGCATTTGATGCTGGACCTTGGGATTATCCCGGAGCGCTGCACATTCTTAGCAACTCCCTGTTCCCTCCCCCGTGCTCTCACATTCCAGGCGGAGGTCAGGCTCCGACCAGCCCACCCACTGTTGCAAATGGAGGAGGACGCGGAGGTGCACCTGATGCTGGACCTTGGGAGTATCCCAGAAGTCTGCACCTTCATATAAACTCCCTGCTCCCTCCCCCGTGCTCCCATTGTCCAGGCGGAGGTCAGGCTCCGACCAGCCCACCCACTGTTGCAAGAGGAGGAAGACGCTGAAGTTCACTTGAGGCTGGACCTTGGGAGTATCCGGCACTCAGCAAGTGTGCATGGCGTGGTGGGGCAGGCATACAGGGATGAAGGGTGAGTAGGAGGGTGGTGAGGGTGGAAGGAAGAGTAGAGGGGAGGGGAGGGTGGTAGAGTCAGGTGAAGTGAGTAGACCTTGGGAACATCCGGCACTCGCCCAGAGTGCATGGCGTGGTTGGGCAGGCATACAGAGATGAAGGGTGAGTATGGGGCTAAGAGAGGGGGGGTGGGGGAGGGGGGGGGGGAGCAGAAGTATAGGGGAGGTGATGTGAAGTGAGCAAACCTTGGGAGTATCCGGCACTCTCCCAGACTGCATGGCGTGGAGGGGCAGGCGTTTAGGGATGAAGAATGAGTGTGAGGCTGAGAGGGGTAAAGCAGAAGAGGGGGGGTGATGTGAAGTGAGCGAACCTTGGGAGTCATGGCGTGGTGGGGCAAGCGTATAAGGATGAAGGGTAAGCGTGGGGGAAAACAGGGAAGGAAGGGGGGTAAAAGAGCCGAGGAGGTGAGGTGAGCCGGCCGTGGGAGTACCAGGCACTCGCTCAGAGTGCATGGCGTGGTGGGGCAGGCATAGGGGATGAAGGGTGAGTGTGGGAGCAACGGGATGAGTTGAGGAGGGTGGGGAAACTGGGAAAGACGGGAGGGTTGAGGTGGCCACACTGTTGAAATATATGCACTGCCTAAGAGCGCATGACGTAATGGGCAGGTCATGGTGGGACAGACATTCCTCACTAGTGCCAACAACTTGGTTCCCTCCTGCCTCTCTTACCACACCCACCCCTGGATCCCGACCAGTGCAGATCAAATCACGACCTCAACTATGCCATCCTGGCGAATCTCATGACCCGGGCCCAATCGGTTGCCGATGATGTGTCAGCAGGTGACTGGTCATCAGACATGAATGCTCCAGGAATGGGGCTGGAGAGTGCAGAAAGTGAGAGTGACATCTTTAGGCGGAGTGGTGAACAGAATAATGATGTGGAGAGTGGTGGCATTGGTAGGACAGATGCACTTGCTGGTGGTTCAGGAGAGTTTCCATTAGAAGGTCGGGCAGAGGACTACATTTCGTCGTCCGTCGTATCCCCCGACTGTCATGTATCTCAGTATAGAAGCCCAGGTGGGGCTACCGTTGTGTATGGTTAAAGATACTCACTGACTAAAGGAAGATGGTGATTTTCAACCCCGAAAACCTCATGTCTGGATTACTTGTGTATCACAACAGCATGTAAACTGCGACGCTAAACCCACAATATCGATATGGCAAAGGCATCTTCCAGCGAGTACAGATCCGCTTGGTTTTTGGTGTGATCACCACGTCACTCCTCACAATGCTGACATAAGCAGCGTTGAGGACTTGCAGCATTGCCTGATCTGTTCGGCGCTGCGAAGGACATTCGAGATTACGACGTTTTCGTGCGCTGTCGCGCACAGCACTGCGAAGCGTTTCAACAGCCCACTCAATCTGTTCCACGCCAGTGACGCCCCTCGCCACCGCAGCAATGCGTCCACGGTGGCGCCCGTCCCAAGAGATCCAACCAGCATTTTGCTTTTGGGCGGCTCCAGCAAAGCTAGCCCAGGCAACACGAGCCTCGTTTAGCTCACCACCATAGCCAATCAGCTGAGTGATTTCCTCCTTGTGGGGTCAAGACCCCAACCAAAGCGAAGCCGCCATCTCGGTTCGTTGGTGTTCGGACCTGACCCAGACCCTACGGTCAGGTTCGAGCAGTTTGCTATGGTGCTGCTGGTGCTTGTTTGTCATTCTGGAGTTTAATCATGCTTTAGAGAGGTGATTTACGTTCTGGAGGGATCTGTTAGCAATAAATAGCGGTTAAGCTCGGCGTGCAAATCTGACTTATGGACACCATCGTGGCGCCCCTCTTCATATCTCCCAAGGAGAAGCCCAACATCCTCCAAATACCCCCCTAATGAGCCAGCTCCTGCTCCGATCTTGCTGCATCCTCTTCGGCAAAACAATCCGCGTGTGTAGGACTTTCCTAATCGAGCCGACATTGCGTTCCTGCCGTGCGATCTTGCCCTGGGTTGCAAGAGACCGGCTCCCGCGGCAAAACCCTCTGCAGCCGCGTCGTGGCGGAAGAGATCCAAGCTGCTGCTTTGGTAAATTTAAATTTTCAGCGAGCTGCTGGCACGGTGCGCGGTCATCATAACGAGTCAGTGATCTGCATTCGGGGATTTAGGATTAACGTCACGCATCTGCCGCTTCCGAAGGTTCCGTGCCGTCAACTGTCCGCCGGACATTCACGACGGTCTGCTTGGCCTTGGCGAAGATCGCAAGTTCTGTGGCGAACATCGCAAGTTCTCTCACGATCTTTTCTTCTTTTGGCGCTGCCTAGAAGCTCCCGTTGTGTTTGTTCAAGAATGGCGGCTTCCGCCGCTTCCGCTGCTTCGTCTTTTTGCCCGTGCGCGCATGCGCACGTGGACGGCGCATCCCGTCTCTCCTCCCTCTCAACCCTCAAGGCACTGCAAGAGCATTCCCAGGGTAGTCTCCGCAAATTCCCCAGCGCCGTGAGTGTAAACACCCTAGAAGTGAAGCCCAAGGGGCTTCAGGGCTCTCGCAAGCGATTGGCCCATCTTCGTCTGTCCGCCGTGCGCGCCACGTCAGCATCGTCCATTCCTTCTGGCGGCTCCTTCGGTGCAGCCAATCGGAGCGATGCGAACAGATCCGTCTCGCCGCAGCACCTCCCCTCTAAGCTGACGTCAGCGTCACCATGGCAACAGACATGTCAGCAGCGGGACGAGTTTCCGTCAAGAAAGAATAATCTTGCCGCTAAAGACGCGATTGCCACGTCAGGACCAGTCAGCAGCCCGGAAGATTTCGACCTGACCGCCCGTGGCGAGGAGAAGAGCGGCAGCAGCAGCTCGACGGGCAACGGCGAAGATTTTATTTCGCTCCCCGAAGGAATGGCGTCGCGGACAAGAGATGGGGTTCTTGCTGCCAGGGTTTTTCACATGCAGCTGGGGAAACCGGTGGTTCGGAACTCGCCCCCTTTAAACCCTTCTTTTCCAGGCCCGAATCAGCGATCAGTGGTAACCCCCCATTCGTCAACCTTCGCGTCGGTTTACAAGCCGACCAAACCGCGCGAGCGGTCGCCGTCCAAAGCTCGGCGGCCGCTTCGTGAGGGAGAAGGGGAGGGAAGATGGGCGGATAGTGACGATGAGGGTTTTGGGTTTGACAACAGCACCAACGGCGGTGGCAGCAGCAGCGACGGTGGCAGCAGCAGCATTGTTTACACGAGGAGGGGCGTTAGCAGCAGGGGCATCAGCAGCAGCAGGCGCAGCAGAAACTTTTCTGCTACCAGCAGCACAGAGAGAGACCGTATATCTCCCCCTCGCCCCACTCGTTCCCCCTATCCCTGGGTTTCTGCGCCCTCCCCCGCGCGCCCCCCTGTGTCCGCGGCGCAAAAGGCGCAGGCGCTGCGCATTTTGAGGGACATGCTGGCGGAAGCGGGGCGCAAGGAGGGGGAGGATACGCGCAGCGGTCTGAATTTCCGGATTACGGGGGGTGAGGGATTTAGAGGGGAAGGGGGGTATAAGCGTGGTGTGGGGGAGCGAAATGGGCAGGAGGAAGCGGAGAGGGGGTTGGGCGGGGAGGGGATTAGGGGAAGGGAGAGCTCTGCAGGTGTGCAGGGGGCTAGGAGGAGTGTTATGGATGAGTTGATTAACTCGTTTGGGATTAATAGTAACGAGGTGAGTTCTAAGGAGGTAGCTAAGGGTGCTGCAAGTAAGGGAGGAGAAGAGCTAGAAACACCTGCTGCTGCAGCAGCAGCAGAAGCTGAAGCTGAAGGAGAAGCAGTCGTAGCCAGGGCACAAGGAAATGCATTGCCTGCAACCATTTTGCCAACAGCAACAGCAGCTGTATCCCCTGCAGCACCTGCACCAGCAGCGGCAGTAACAACAGCAGCACCAGCACCACCAGCACTGCCAGCAGTCACAGTAGCAACACGAGGACCACTAGCAGCAGCACCAAAGTTTGCCACTAAGCTTCCCAGAACTTCTCTCAATATACACGATCGTCCTTCTGCTCCTGCTCCTGCTCCTGCTGCTCCTGCTCCTGCTGCTGCTGCTGATGGTTCAGCACAGGATATTGCAGAGTCAGTGGCAGCAACAAAGGAAAAGGCAGAAGAGGAAGAAGGCTCACATCACAAGGCAGACGAACGGGAGGGTGAATCTCCCAGTCCCATTCCACGGATGCACGTGAGCGTGCCTCTTCCCATACAGCCGGGGTCTTCCCTCCCCTCCCTCATTTCCAAACCCTCTATTCCATGCAGACCAGCACCACTGGTTGCAACAGCAGCAGCAAAGGAAGAGGCCGCAGAGGAGGAAGGGTCACCTCTCAAGGCCGACGAAGGGGAGGGTGAATTCCCCAGTGCCACGACACAGGTGCGTGTGGGAGTGCCTCTTCCCACACAGCCGGGCTCTACCCTCCCTTCCCTCAAGGTTAAACCCTCTTTGCCACGTAAGCCAGTCGTGCCAGCTGTACCACCAGAGGGGAGGCTGGACGGATCAGGGTTTATGGGAGGTTCAGGGTTTAAGGGTGCAAGCGGAGGGGCGCAATCTGTGGCCTCGAGTGGGTTTAAGGAAGGGTTAGGGGCGCACTATTCCGCCCAGTTCACCCAGCCGAACGTGTATAAGACAACCGTGGCTGTGGCTTTTGTGCCTCCTCGTCCTGGTGCCAATGCTCCGGCTTCTCCTGCTGCTGCTGCTGCTGCTGCTGCTGCTGCTGCTGCTGCTGCTGCTGCTGCTGCTGCTGCTGCTGCTGCTGCTGCTGCTGCTGCTGCTGCTGCTGCTGCTGCTGCTGCTGCTGCTGCTCTTCCTGTTCCTGCTCCCCCTGCCCCCGCTGCTCCTCCTCCTGCCCCCCTTGCGCCTGCTGCTGCTCTCGAATCCGCTGCTTCGGTTTCCGAGCCTAGCACTGACCAAGCAACAGCAACGGATTTTGAGCCTTGTTTTCCGAGCCTCGGCATTTCCCAGCCTGAGACTGATGTTCGGCAGATAAGAACCACTTTCCTTGACCAATCTGATGATCTGCCAGTGCTGCAGGCTCGGCCCAAGCCTGTCAGGCCCGGAACTGGTTCGGGTGAGGCTCGGTCATCGGGCGCTAGTATTCTGTCCTCCAGACCTGTTCGAGTGTTTAGAACACTGGAAACACCTAAGCAAGATGGTTGTACTGAACGTGCTAATAACGAAGCAGAAGCTCAGGGTAGGGTTAGCGCTTATATTCCAGTGCATGTTGAGCCTACAGAGGGTGCTTATAGCGAAGGTCAAGTGGCAGGGCTGGCGAGCAAGGGAATAGACAGAAGCAGAGGAGGAAGACTGAGCGATGGAGAGGAGCAAGTGGGAGAGAGAGGGAGTGTGGAAGGGAGTGACGGAGCGAGGGTGAGCAGGGAAGTGGGAGAGAGAGGGAGTGCGGAACGGAGTGAGAGAGTGAGTGTGAGCGGGGAAGTGGGAGAGGAGGGGAAAGTGGTAGTTGCTGGGGGAAGGAGGTGGAGGAGGGAAGGAGGAGTGTGGAGTGTGGAGGAGGTTGGAGTGGGGAAGGAGGGGGCAGGGGGAGAAGCAGAGGAAGGGAAGGGTTTAGCAGGGAAGGAGAGTGAGGAGCGGAGAGGAGATGGTGTTACAGGTGCGGTAGCAGCAGGTACAGTCGCAAAAGGCACGGTGACAGGTACGGTGGCAGGAATGGTGGTAGGCACGGCAGCAGGAACTGTAACAGCAGGCATGGTAGCAGAAGGCATGGTAGCAGAAGGCATGGTAGCAGAAGGCTCACCGACAGGAAGGGGGACCAGAGGATCAGAGCGGGGGAGAGTAAGGGAGGGGGTCAGACGTCCGGAATGGGTGGGCGATCTAGAAGGGCTGGGGAGGAAGAGAGGAGGAGCAGCAGAAACAGGAGCGACAGGAAGAGCTGCTGCGGCTGCTACCACTGTTATTCCAAATTCAGCTTTTTCGAAATCCCGTTTCAAATCGGCTGGTTCAAAAGCAGCAGCAGCGGCAGCTGTTAAGTCTAAAACGGGGATATCAGGAGCAGAGAAGCGGGAGCACAGGAGAACGAGCAAGGCAGAGAGGAAAGCAGCTAGAGAGGCAGCAGCTAACGCATCTGCACCCACCCGAGCCGAGATAATCGAAGTGGGGAAAGCAGGAATAGCGGTTAAGGACCTAGCGGGGCTTTTAGCGGTCGGCGAGGGGGATATAGTGCGCGCGCTGTTCATGAAGGGCGTTATAACGAACGTGAATCAGGTTCTTAACGAGGATATGGTGGCGGTGGTGTGTGAGGAGTATGGGGTGGAAGTGCTGGGACCGCAGGAGGGCGGCGTGGAGGAAAGTGCGAGGAAGGTTCGTGAGTTTGTGGAAGAGGAGGATCGGGAGCATCTGATGCCGCGGCCGCCTGTTGTGACCGTGATGGGACACGTGGACCATGGGAAGGTGAGTGACACTCATAGTACACCCTTTTTGAGTCGACCGGTGAAATCACCTCCTGAGGAGGATCGGGAGTATCTGGTGCCGCGTCCACCTGTTGTGACTGTGATGGGTCATGTTGACCATGGGAAGGTGAGAGACACACACTCTTTGTCCCGTTTCTAAGTTGACTCAAGGATTGCCTTTGGAGGAGGATTCGGAGCATCTGGTGCCGCGGTCACCTGTTGTGACTGTTATGGGTCACGTGGACCATGGGAAGGTAAGACAGACGCTCATAGTAGCTTTTTTTTTTTTTTTGTTGACGGAAAGAATCACCTCCAAAGGAGGATAGGGAACATCTGGTGCCGCGGCCACCTGTTGTGACTGTGATGGGACATGTGTGGACCATGGGAAGGTGAGACACTCATAAAGGATGGGAATGTATGGGATAGCGTGGACCATGGGAAGGTGAGCCGTCATACATTCTCCGGAAAACGGGGAAGAGCATCTGATGCCGCGGCCGCCGGTTGTGACTGTGATGGGTCACGTGGACCATGGGAAGGTGAGCTCTTCGTTTCTATGGCCCACCAGGTGAGACTCACATGAAGCACCTGGTGCCACGACCTCCTGCTGTGAGTGTGATGGGTCACGTTGACCATGGGAAGGTGAGATTTCGATAGCACGAGTTGGACATATAGATGCTTGCGTTGATATTATTGTTGATGTACTTTGTTTGACACCTAGATAAATTGGTTTCTTCCTTTGCCTGTTCCGCTGGTGCGAGTGTGTGCGTGTGTGTGTGTGTGTGGTGGGTGTGTGGGTGTGTGTGTGTGTGGATGCGTGCGTATGCACACGTGCGTGTGTGTGTGCATGTTTGCATGTGCTCGTGTGTGTTTGTTACAGACGTCACTGCTGGACTACATTCGGCACACCAAGGTGAGCTGCTGCCGTGTCAGGTAATCAACAGATTTGTGCATGGGCAAAGGTGCATGTTTGTTACAGAGGTCGTTGGCCGAATGTTTGTTACAAACCACATTCGGCAGACCAAGGTGAGGTCAACTGTTCGATTTCCACGTCAAGTTCTTGCTATAACATCAGGTCAACACTGCCAAGATTACGGTCAAAAGTGCAAACGTTTTCTCGTGCTGTGTGCACGTGACTGCCGCTGCTGATGTTGCTGCTGCTGGCAGAATCACTCAGGCCACGGGGAAGCTGGTTTTTGAGAATTCTCAAAAAGGGTGCTTACCGCGTGCACGTGCCCTCCGCTGCTCCTGCTGCTAATTCTATCCCACCCTCCCGCTCGTTTACCCCACATACGCACACTCAATCAACCCCTGTCACCTCGCCCCTCACAGGTGGCGGCAGGGGAGGCAGGGGGAATCACTCAGGCAATCGGCGCTTACTGCGTACACGTGCACTCTGCTGTTGGTGGTGCTACTGATGGCGACGGTGCTGCTGATGGTGATGCTGAGAGGGCTGCTGCAGAGACTTGTGTTTTCCTTGACACTCCGGGCCATGAGGTGAGGGCTGGGATTTGATATGGTATAGAATGCGGTAGGATGGGGTAGGATTGCGTGGCATGGGTTGGCATGGAGTGGCATGGGTTGGCATGGGTTGGCATGGGTTGGCATGGGTTGGCATGGGTTGGCATGGGTTGGCATGGGTTGGCATGGGTTGGCATGGGTTGGCATGGGTTGGCATGGGTTGGCATGGGTTGGCATGGGTTGGCATGGGTTGGCATGGGTTGGCATGGGTTGGCATGGGTTGTCGTGGCACGACATTACATGGCTTGTTGTATAAGCATAAGAGCAATTCCCTTTCTTTCCTTCCCACTTCCCCTTGCTTCCCTTCCGCACCCCTTCCAATGCCCTTCCACACAGACTCATGCCTCTTATCACTCTTCCATGATGCTGAAGGTCATTTTTTAGAATTCTCAAAAGGTTATTTTTGAGAATTCTCAAAAGGTTATTTTTGAGAATTCTCAAAAATAACCTTCAATCCCCTTTTTTTCCTTCCCGCTTCCCCTTGCTTCCCTTCCGCACCCCTTCCAATGCCCTTCCACGCAGACTCATACCTGTTATCACTCTTCCTCCCCCACCCTCCTTTCCCTCCCCCATTTTCCTTTTCACACAGGCCTTCAGCGCAATGAGAGCAAGGGGAGCAAGGGTGACAGACATAGCAGTGGTGGTGGTGGCAACAGACGATGGGGTCATGCCCCTCCCTCTCTTCCCTGCCCCCTCTCCCCCAACTGTCCTTATCCCTTTAGTGCAATGAGGGCCCGAGGTGCAAGGGTGACAGACATAGCAGTGGTGGTGGTGGCAGCAGATGATAGGGTCATGCCTCAGACCACCGAGGCCATCGCCCATGCTTGCAACCTAATCTCTCGCCCCTTCCCACTCACACCCTCTTTTCACCCACAGGCCTTTAGCGCAATGCGTGCCCGGGGTGCACGCGTAACAGACATAGCAGTGGTGGTGGTGGCAGCAGACGATGGAGTCATGCCTCAAACCACCGAAGCAATCGCACACGCGCGTGCTGCTAATGTGCCCATGCTCATAGCCATCAACAAGGTGTGATTGTAGCACGGTGTGACTAAACAGTCGTGAGCCTGTGCTGGTAAGTGGAGTCACGTGTTTGCTTGAGGTGGCAGCAGACGATGGGGTCATGCCCTTCAGTCAGACCGCAGAGGCGATTGCCCATGCCAGGGCTGCCACAGAGGCGATTGCCCATGCCAGGGCTGCCACAGAGGCGATTGCCCATGCCAGGGCTGCCACAGAGGCGATTGCCCATGCCAGGGCTGCCACAGAGGCGATTGCCCATGCCAGGGCTGCCACAGAGGCGATTGCCCATGCCAGGGCTGCCACAGAGGCGATTGCCCATGCCAGGGCTGCCACAGAGGCTGTGTATGTGGGTGTGTGTGCGCGTGCATGAGCGACTGTGTTTGTGCTTGAGGTGGCAGCAGAGGATGGAGTCATGCCGCAGACCACAGAAGCCAAAAACCATGCGCGCGCAGCCAACGTGCCCATGCTCATTGCGATCAACAAGGTGTGCTTGTAGCACAGTCTGCTGGTACGGGGGATGCTTGTTTGTGCTCAGTGGCAGCAAACGATGGGGTAATGCTTCAAACCACAGAGGCCGTCGCCCATGCCCGCGCTGCCAACGTTCCAATGCTCATTGCAATCAATAAGGTGACTATTAAGTGTGACTGTAATGTGTGACTGTGACTGTAATGTGTGACTGTTAAGTGTGACTGTAATGTGGCACTAACTGATTTTTTTTTCCGTGTGCTTCATCACTCTATCTTGTGGCTCCATGGTGATTGTGACTTTAGAGAGCGTTCTCATCCCTTCTTTTTGTTTTCCTTCTTTTTCTTTCTTTCTTACTACTTTACTTCTTTTTTTTTTTCCTTTCTTTTTTCTCCGGATATTCCGTCTGACCCAGATTGACCGGGAGGGCGCGAGTGTGGAGAGGGTGAAGCAGCAGCTGGGGCAAGCAGGAGTTTTGCCAGAGGAGTGGGGAGGGGACACACCCATGGTGCCGGTGAGTTGCTGTTCTGGGTGTAGGATATGGTAACGAGTTGATAGCTCTCAGCAGCTGGGGCAAGCAGGGGTGCTGCCGGAAGAATGGGGAGGGGACACGCCCATGGTGCCGGTGAGTGAGATTGGAAAGTGGGAGGGAGAGTAGCACATGTTTGCTACAGTCATGTGAGTGTGGAGAGGGTGAAGCAGCAGCTGAGGCAAGCAGGAATGCTGCCAGAGGAATGGGGAGGGGACACACCCATGGTGCCGGTGAGTGAGATTGTAGAGGGAGTGATGGACGGAGATTAGCTTAGGCTGGCCATGTTGCCCAAGATTGACCTTGGTGCCAGAATCCGTTACTCATGCTTGTGAGAATTCTCGCAGCAACGTCATCATAGCTGCTCATGTTGCCCAAGATTGACCTTAGTGCCTGAATCCGTTACTCCGGGCCTACCTTTACTAAAAATCTCGTTTAAAGAGAAGCCTGCAACAACAAGGAGTTCGACTCTGGTCGCTGCTTCCATTTACCGTAAATCCCACTACACCGCACCCCACTGCACCACAAACCTACCCCACTCCACCCCACCGCACTCCACCCCACAGGTGAGCGCCAAGACAGGGGAGGGCGTGGATCAGCTGCTCGAGACGATCATGCTGCTAGCTGAGGTGAGAAACGAAAGGGAGGCGGTGGAGAGCGGTGGAGAGAGACTGGGTGAGGTGAGCATAGGAGCAGGAGAGGGCGTGGATTAGCTGCTGGAGACGATCATGCTGCTAGCTGAGGTGAGAAAAGAAAAGAGGAGGGTGGAGATTGGTGGAGAGTGGTGGAGCACGTTGGAGAGCGTTGGAGGGAGAAGGGCTGAGTGGACTAGGGAGGTGAGTACTGGAGCAGGAGAGTGCCTGGACTCTCAAAGGCGTTATTGCACCTGGCAGAGAAGGTTGAAGAGGGTGGAAAATGATGGAGAGCGGTGGAGAAGGGTCGAGTGGGGTATGGTGATGTGTTTTGGAACAGGAATGTGGGTGGGGTCTGTCAGTCACAGGGCATATGAAGGGTGCACTCCTTACACCTTCCACTTCCCTCTTCGTGCACCCCTCTGCACCGCTCTGCGCCCCTCTGCTGTCTCTCCCTTAGCAGAATCAGGAGCTTCGTGCCAACCCAAATAGACCGGCGGTGGGAATGGTGATAGAGCCAAGATTGGACCGACACAGAGGGCCCGTGGCAATGCTGCTGGTGCTGCTGTTGCTTGTGCATTAGAGCAATTCTTCCACCTATCTGCACCCCACTGCACCTCTCTGATTTCTACTACCCCCTTGCAGATTGAGGAGCTTCGTGCCAACCCAAGTAGGCCGGCAGTGGGGACGGTGATAGAGGCAAGATTGGACTGGCACAGAGGGCCCGTGGCAACGCTGCTGGTGGGGTGGGTGGTGCAGAAAAACACTCTTACACATTCTTTCACCGCTCTGCACCGTTCTGCACCCCTCTTACTCCCTCCCTTTGCAAATTGAGGAGCTTCGTGCCAACCCAAGTAGGCCGGCAGTGGGGACGGTGATAGAGGCAAGATTGGACCGGCACAGAGGGCCCGTGGCAACGCTGCTGGTGCTGAATAACATGTATTCCACCTCTTTGTACCATTCTCCACCCCTCTGCCTTTCTCCCTTGCAGATTCAGGAGCTTCGTGCCAACCCAAGTAGGCTGGCAGTGGGGACGGTGATAGAAGCACGGCTGGACCGGCACAGAGGGCCCGTGGCAACGCTGCTGGTGCAGATGATGGTAATGGTGATCCTTTTGCAGAATCTGACTCCACCTCTCTGCACCCCTTTGCACTGCTCCACGTTGCCCCCTCTCGCAGATTCAGGAGCTTCAGGCCAACCCGAATAGGCCAGCAGTGGGGACGGTGATAGAAGCACGGCTGGACCGACACAGAGGGCCCGTGGCAACGCTGCTGGTGCAGAATGGGACACTGAAGCTGGGAGACATTGTTGTTTGCGGGGAGGCATATGGGAAGGTGAGAGTAAGGGGTTGACACAGGAAGGGAGATTCAGATGGGGAATTGAGGTCCCGTGGCAGTGCTGCTGGTGGAGAATGGGACGCTGAAGCTGGGAGACGTGGTTGTGTGCGGGGAGGCATATGGGAAGGTGAGGGGAGGGGAGCTAGGAAGGCAGCAGGATGTGGGAGAAATAAGTGAATATGAGGGCCCGTGGCAACGCTGCTGGTGCAGAATGGGACGCTGAAGCTGGGATACGTGGTTGTTTGTGGGGAGGCGTATGGGAAGGTGAGAGCTTGGGGGTCCTGGGTGTGAGAGTGGTTGGGGGAAATGAGAGGACAGGAGGGGAGATGAGGGCCCGTGGCAACGCTGCTGGTGCAGAATGGGAAACTGGGAGACGTGGTTGTGTGTGGGGAGGCGTATGGGAAGGTGATTGCTTGGAGGTCCTGGGTGTGAGGTGGAGGGGCTATCCCGCGTGCCGGTGGCAGGGGACGAGTTCCACGTGCTGCTGTGCATTGATGCAGCCAAGGCCGTTGCATACCCACCTCTCCCCCCACTCCCTCCTTCCCACCCTCCCAGGTTCGTGCCCTGTTGAATGACAGTGGGATGAAGACCAAGGCAGCAGGGCCGTCAGCAGCAGTGCAGGTGGAGGGGCTGTCGTGCATGCCAGTGGCAGGGGACGAGTTCCATGTGCTGCCGTGCATTCATGCAGCCAGGGAGATGGCGGAGGAAGCTGCTGAGAAGGCGCGGGCCGATCGCCTAGCAGCAATGCAGGGAGAGGCGAAAGTGACCCTCTCTGCCTTCGCCACTGCTGTTGGTGCTGGTGGTGCTGCTGCTGCTGCTGCTGGTGCTGGTGCTGGTGCTGCTGCTTGTGCTGGGACTTCTGGTGCTGCTGGTGCAGGGAGGGGAGCAGGAGAGGAGAGGCAGGAGGGAGAGGAGGTGGAATTACATGTGGTGAATGTGGTGCTGAAGGTGGACTGTCAGGGGTCAGTGGAGGCGATTAGAGAGGCGCTAAGTGCTCTGCCTCAGGACACTGTGTCTCTGCGCTTCCTGTTGCAGGTGAGGAAAGGCGGGGTGAGGGTGTGGGTGGGGAAGAGAGTAGGAAACAGGGAGGAGGAGGTGGAATTACATGTGGTGAATGTGGTGCTGAAGGTGGACTGTCAGGGGTCTGTGGAGGCGATTAGAGAGGCTTTAAGTGCTCTGCCTCAGGACACTGTGTCTCTGCGCTTCCTGCTGCAGGTGAGACGATGAGAGGGGAGAAATGATGTGCTTCCATTCCATCCCAATCGCTCTCGACCCACTGCTTTATCGTTCGAGAGATCTTGGAAACCAATCTCACCTACAATTGAATCACTCCCCCTCCCCTGACCGCTCCTATTCCCATTCTTCCTTCCCCCCTCCCGTGTCCCTCTTCCCAGGCCCCTGGTGACGTGTCAAGCAGTGATGTTGACCTGGCGGCGTCCAGCTCAGCGGTCGTGCTGGCGTTCAATGTGGGCGTGTCGCCAGCTGTCGCGGCCGTGGCAGAGATGAGGGGCGTGCGAGTGAGGTCTTACCGGGTGATCTACGATGTGGTGGAGGAGGTTCGAGCCATTATGGAGGGGTTACTCCATACTGTAGAGGTATGTTACATATTCGTTATTTCAAATACATATCATGAAGGGGCGTGTGAGTGAGGATGCGAATTTTTAAAATGCAGCGGCGGAGATGAGGGGTGTGCGAGTGAGGCAGCACCGGGTGATCTACGATGTGGTGGAGGAGGTTCGGGCCATCATGGAGGGGCTTCTTCACACTGTAGAGGTGCGTTACATGTTATATCAACTTTATATAACTCTATACATTCATACAGATTGGTACTTAGGCAGAGATGAGGGGCGTGCGAGGGAGGTCTTATTGGGTGATTTACGATGTGGTGGAGGAGGTTCGAGCAATTATGGAGTGGTTACTCCATACTGTAGAGGTATGTTACGTATTTGTTATTTCATCTACATATCGCTTATGGATATAAAGTTATAAAATGCAGCGGCGGAGGTGAGGGGCTTGCAGGTGAGGCAGCACCGGGTGATCTAGGATGTTGTGTAGGAGGTTCGGGCAATTATCCAGGGGCTGCTTCACACTGTAGAAGTAAGTTATGTGCTCTATATATTGTTGCCTATATACTGTGTATTCCCCGTGTGAAAATTTCAGGAGAGCTCGTTCCTCGGCCGGGCAGAAGTACGGGCAGTTTTCGGCACGGGCAGCACGCGGGTGGCAGGAGTAATGGTGACGGAGGGGAGGTTGCAGAAGGGATGCACTATTGTAGTGACGCGCGGTGGGAGAAGGGGCGGTGGTGGTGACGGGAGGGGTGGGGGTGCTGTTCCAATGGCTGCTGCTGAACAAGAGAAAGGCAATAACGTGAAGGGGAAGAGAGAGAAGGCGGGCGAAGCATTGGGATTAAAGAAGCAGCAGCAGCAGCAGCAGCAGCAGAAGTTGGAGGGTCGCTGGGTGCATTCAGGACAGGTGACATCTCTTCGGCGGGTGAAGGAGCATGTGGGGGAGGTGGTATCTGGTTTGGAGTGTGGTGTGGGCGTGGAGGGCTTTAATGGGTGGCAGCAGGGTGACTTTATTGAAGCCTATGAGGTGACGCACAGGGCTCGGACGCTGGAGGATGCGTCTGAAGAGATTGCACGAGTGGTGGAAGGCAAAAGAGGGACCTTGGGAAGGGATTCATTCTAGTGCTTGGCCAGAAGTGATCGTCTTGAAGGCTAGTGTGAGGAAACCCTCATGTGAGGAGTAGTATACTGATACCGTAATAAGTTTGTGAGTTGTGTGGAGTGGATGGAAGAATGCGGGACATTGGGAATTAATTTGTCTCACTAGCACTTGCTAGGAGTGGAGACCCTACTAAACCATGTCAGAGACCCTACTATACCCTACCCTGTCCTGTCATTGACAAAGGTCCTAAACATTCCAAATTGTTGTTTGTTTGTGGTAAGGGTTTCTGCCAGTAAAACCAAAAATAGCGCAATGCTCAACAGAAAAAAATGATACGGATATACAAGGCGGATGAGAGGATAGTGCAGCAAACACGTATCACCAGATACAACTCCTATTTGACGAATATTCTCCGTCCAAAGATCTATCAGGTTCTGGTGTCAGTCCCAGATAGTCATGTGGACGCTCTCGCATAGCTTGCGCCGAAGCAGGGTCGTCGTAGACGGATGTGCGTCAGCTCTTATTAGTGTCGTCGTGCCAAGTGCAAAGTTTGGCAAGTCAGAAATCTTGAATGAAGAAGTCAGCGAGATGGCACTATGTCAGCTCCCGGATTAAATTACGTTGACAATGACGTTGCCGGTTGCAGTTTGATGGAGTTTTCAGTGACTCTCAGGCAAAGTCGTCACAGTGCTGGAGTTGGAATTCTCCGTCGATATCGACACTGTCGAGTCAGATTCCACCAATGAAAAATCAAGACGACGAATGAAGCCTCGCGACATCGGTTTTCGCGAAGCGCCGAAGATCTTGAACGCTCCTTTGCTCTTGACAGGTGCTCCGGGACAGACGAGGACGGAAGCACGCGTACTCAACGGCGTTCCGACAATCTCGACGTTAATGCAGCCGGTTTGCCGTCCGCGCGACCTTTTCACCGACAAACGAGGAGTAGCTGCACCGGTGTCTCTCGCTTCCGTCACATTAGCTGCGAAGTTCGATCCCGAGAAGTCGACTGCCCTGAGATCGTTCATGCTCTTGCATCGAAGCTGCATCGAGCCCGCCAATTCAAAAGGGTTTGACAGGAGATTGACCGCACACGTCGGAGCCATGAGGGACGAAATGTAGGGGGGGTTGAGCTGCAGATGCACGTGAACTGAAGATAGACGAGTGAAATTGAGATGAAAAATGCAGATGGCTGTCGAAGATGTACAAATAGGCGGTCGCCTGACGACTGAGCGGAGCACGAATGTCAACACCAACAGACGAAGAAAAACGCGGAAAGAATTCACAGGCAAATCGAAGAAAAGTTGTCCCCAACTCAGCAGAACGGTCAAGTTACACCTACGGTGAAAGCTAGCAAAAGTCAACCACAGAGCAGCAAACTGAAAATGAAGCTGCAGCATTGAGCTGTATTTGTGCTGGAGACAAGGAAGTTGTGGGGGAGGGGGAAGAAAGAAGGGAAGAAGATGGGGGAAGCGGGGAGGTGCGGGGGAAGAAATGAGGGAAGAAGGTTGTAAAAGGGGGGAGGTGTGGGGGAAGTTTGGGGGAAGAAGTGGCTTTTCGGGATAGATTTCGTAGCAGTGACGGCAACGAGGGTGCTGATTCCGCGCGAGGGAGAGCCAAGGGGGACAGGGAGGGAGGGAAAAGGGGAAGGGGTCAGAGGGAAAAGGGACCAAGAGGCTGGGTTTGGGGGGAAACGATGAGGGAGGAAGCTGTGCTTGCGTTGACCTCACCCTCACGCCACCATCAATTTATGATGACGTCCGCGAGTGCGCTGATTGGCTGAGCCGGTTTTCGAAGAACCTGAGGAAGCCGCAACAACGCCGACATCCAGTTACGATACGTGGGCCGTGGCATGTTGAGTGAGGGGGAAGAACATGCCTAGGCTTGCTGGGTTCGGTTCGGCGGGGTGAGGCTGGGGACGGTGAAGCAGAGAGCACGCCACACCTACGCGTGAGCCGAGTTCGTTTGGCGGGAAATTTAAGTTTGAATCATTCGAGTTTCCCGCTGATGGCCAGCTGTCCCCTGTCGACATGCGAAAATCCCACCTGTCCAGTGCCAACACTGTGGTGCAGAACTGTGTGGTCCCATAATCGCATCCGATTCCCACCATGGTGCGGGCTGCACTGTCAACTTCAACGGGGTGCCAGCAAGGAAGCTTCCGTGAAGGAGACAAATTTAGAAAGGAGGTACTTACCCTGCCCTGCATTTAATGGCGCCCTATTAGTTAGGGCTGGCATACTTTGCGAGTCCGCTGGTAGCTTTGCACTACAGTAACAGCCAGGGTGCTATTACAGAACAAGATACATGCCGCAGCGTTTAGCTGCTCACAAAAACTGTAAGTACTTCCAACCCCTGGGTTAGAACCATGTGCATCGTATTTAGCCCGAACAGCCCTAGCAGATTTACAGTTTTGTACCCTAAACTACCACTAACAGCCGCGCTTTGCCCAATGACGTCAAGAAAGCACGGTGATGTTAGGATATAACTGCTGCCACATATTGGTGACTGTAATCCACGTCAGGATCACGGAGAATCTGATGATCATTTCTGCAGCCCCGCTGCTAAGGAATTTTGAGGACAGCAGCCCCGCAAATGTGTGATGCTTGGTGCCGAGGGGGGAGGACCACAGTAGCTGTACAAGCCCTGCCCGCAAACTGCGCAACGCACTTTCAACTTTATGTGCATAAGTAGAAACTCCGTAGGTTCAAACTAAAGCTCCAAGAATGCATGTTTGATTTGCACCTGGTGAACTCAACTTTCAGTGCCCGTGTACTTTCGTTTCGGGCCAGTGGAGATGAGAAATTGCCGCTGGTGTGCCAATCAGCCTGACACAGTCAGCACGAGGCTGATCAATGATGGTTCACGTGATTCGGCCAGGAATCAGATGTGGTGTGAAAGGTCAGATGATCGGATCCGGCATCGAATTCTTGGGCCAACTTACTCCAGGGTGCAGGAGGTGAGGTGAGGAGCAGACTCCTCTTTTAATTTAATAAAGCCAATAATCAGTTGGAGGGGGCAATATAACCGTGGTTGATTACAGTACAAGTATTTAAAGTAGGCGGCCTCATCACTAAGTGTGGCTCTTGTTTACGATTATTGAGCAAAACGAGTGACACCCGATTGCGAACCACCTTGAAGCCAGCCATCATCTTGAACATTTTTAAGCTAGATGTGCTACAGTTCAAAGATTAGGACCAAACAGTTCCTAAAGTTTCAGGCCAGAATTTCGCCACGTCAAGCTCCATCGCATCACAAGCAGCAACCGTCCTAGGGCACAGCACATGAAGTTACTGTAGATAATCGAAGGCAGGCGTGCGTGCGTGGCCCCGCCAGCCTGGATGGCACCCCCACCAGCAGAGAGCAGAGACTCCCCTGATGCCAGAACTACACCCTCATTCTCGATAGACTGGCATATGTTATACTGACCGAAACGCTTAGTGTAGCCGCAGCGGACCAAACAAGTCCTATCACATGCGTTATAGTGACAATTTGACCCAAGGCGTTGAGTCAAGGTTTTATACGTTCTGGAATGTTACTGCTATTTCCAAAGCGGTTCAGACGGATATTCAGCGTTAACGGTTTTTTGTTTTCCCAAGTCCCGCTTCCTCGGCTCGTGCGACTTTGCCCGCAACTAAGTTATCTCACCATCCCGCTACGTCCAAACACTGTAGACAGTGCTTCCGCCGGTGAGATGACTGAGAATGAGGGTGTATTACTTTCCGATACGAACATCCTTCAAGGATGTCTACTGCGCCCATCGTTAGTGTACTATGGGTACAATAACCAGACATTTGTGACAAGGCATATAGAAGTGCAACTTCCTATGTCACATTTTAGTGATACCACGAGCAGCAGCTAAAAACACCCAGAGGAGCAGCTCAACCTTCACAGTATACAATGTACATAATCAAGGTTAAGCGCAACAACCTAATCAAGACATAACCCTCTGTAACAAAGTTACCGCCGAGGCGGAGGAGCACCTCGGCCCATCATGCCCATAGGAGCACCCCCATCTGGTGCTGCTCCCAGCGCTCCCCTTGCTGCAGACCTAGCTTTAGCTCGCATTGCCACGGCTCTGCCCCTGCCCACTCCCAGGTTGGACGACCCCTTGCCCTGAAACACACACAATGCGGGTTGGGTTGCATGGAATTGTGAGAGTGTGGACTGTGATGGAGAAGGGTTACAGTGATGCTACAAACTAATCATTAGCTCGCATTGCCACAGCTCTGCCCCGGCTCACTCCCAAATTGGACGACCCCATGCCCTGAAGCACACACAGAGGGGTTGGGTGGGATGCAATAGGATTAAGCATGTGTGTGGATAAGGGTATGCTTCTTGCTGCAGACCTAGCTTTGACTCGCATTGCCACAGCTCTTCCCCTGCCCACTCCCAGGTTGGACGACCCCTTGCCCTGAAGCAACAAAGCATACACAAAGGGAGGGGGGATGTGAGTGAGATGCAAGGAGGTCAAGTGTGTGTGGGAGGATATACGCCTTCCTTCAGTGCACGACCCCTTGCCCTGAAGCACACACGAAGGGGTTGGGTTGCATGGGAATTAAAGTGTGAGTGAGGGCACTGGAAAAACAACATTTGAGCATTTGGGAAGGACGGCCACAGAGAAGAGAAGGAAAGAGCGGTGTCAGGAGGAGGATAGAGAGGGAGCGAGAAACGTGGGAGAGAGAGAGAAAGGGAATCCGACCTTGTATTTTTGACATTTTGTTCTCGAAAGACAAGAGAAGGGGGAGGGCAGCAAGCAAAGAGGGATAGAGAGAGGGAGGGCAACAGCCCTTAGAGCCAGGAGAGACATTGGGAGGGCTCGAAGAGGGAACATTGAGCAAGAAATGATGGGGGAAGGAGGGGCGACAGAGATTGAGAAACAAAGAGGAGCATACCTTAAGCTTGGCTTCCAGTCGTTTGAACATGGGTGCATTCCGAAGCATGTCTGGGATGATCACGAAGCTGCATGGGGGGGGAGGGGGAGGGGTGTGGGGGGGGGGGGGGGGGGGGAAGGGGAAGGGGGATGGGGGAAAGGAGAAAATGGGTGCTTGATTAGCTGATCAGCTTCCTGTCGTTTGGACATGGGTGCATTCCGAAGCATGTCAGGGAAGATGACGAAACTGCAAAGGGGAGAAGAGGGGGGTGGTGGGGAGGGGGTGGTGTTGGAGGGAGGAAAGAAAGGGCTGATCAGCTTCAAGTCGTTCAACCATGGATGTACTTTAAAGTATGTCAGGGATGGCGATGAAAGGAAAGGGGTGGTTTGCTGGAGAGGGGCGGGTGGGAGCGGAGGAAGAAGGTAACGGAGGGGGTGGACGAGGGGGGATGGGGAGGGGAAGGAAAAGAGGGGAAAGGGAGGAGCGGGATAGGAGTGAAGGAGGGGGGCAGAGGAAAGAGGGTGAATGGAGAGGGGGCGGGAAGGGGGGAGACAGGGGGAAGGGGGGGAAAGGATGGGGTAGGGGAAGGGGGGAGGCACAGGGGAGGGAGGGGGGGTGTTGAGGGGAGGGGGAGAGGCGTGGGGAGGGGGAGAGGCGTGGGGAGCAGGAAGGTAGGAGGCGAACGGAGAAGGGGGGAAAGAAGGGGGGGGGGGGGGGGGGGGAGGGGGGGGGGGGGGGGGGGGGGGGGGTAAAGAGGGTAGGGGGGATGGGGGAACTAAGAAGCAGCAGAAGGGAAGGAGGGGCCAACGGATGAGACAAGGAGATATGGGAGGCGAGCTTGCGGTGAGGCGAGCATGCGGTGAGGCGAGCATGCGGGATATGAGAAGATGTGTGGCGCGAACGCGGAGAGGGAGAGCCTGAGACGCAGAAGGAGAAGAGCACAAGGGAGGGACGAGCATGGGGGAAGAAAGACCACGGAGGGAAGAGCGTGCGAGGAAGAGCATGGGGTCCGAGCGTGGGTGGGGGAAGAGCATGCGGGGAAGAGCGTGGGGGGGAAGAGCATGGAAGGAAGGGCTGATGGGGAACAGCATGGGGGTAAGCGCGTGCGGGGAGGGACATGGGGGGAAGAGCAAGTGGGGAAGCGCATGCGAGATCGCAGGAACCGAGGAGGGGGTGAGGTGGGGGATTGCAAAAACAGAACTTGGGGGTGAGGCAGCAGCAAAAGCGAAGGCAGAAGCGACTGAACCAATGAGGAGCATAAGGAGCGTCAAGGAGATTAAGTCAAGGCAACACTGTGACCTTTATTTGCGACGAGTACGAGCACTCGTTATAACAGGATACGTACCGAACGAAGCTGCCCCTTATGAATACGTGCTCCAACTGCAATACCTTGCCGTCCTGAAGAAGACACGCAGAGGGGAAGAACATAGAAGAATTTGAAACTAGGGTTTTGAATCGCCACGCTCTAACCCATGGTCGTCGAACCGTGCCACACAGGCAACCCCTTCAATCACCCACTATAAACCTGCATCTTAACACAGGCCCGTCCTTCGTCGCTCGTTCCGAACAATAGCGTCACTTCAACCAGAGATCCGCACAATTCGTTCGTCCCCTCTAAACGCAATCACACCAGCCGAATCTCCCCCACTGACTCCTCTTACGAAAAAGAAAGATGCAGCTAATAACGAGCTGATCTGAAAGGCATGAACTGCAGGCGTGCAGGAGAGATTGATATGTGACTGTATCGAGCGTACCTTGGCTGTGAATGTGATGTTATCCATTTGGCAGTTCCAGTTATCCTCGCAGTCCGTCAGCGTGCCTCGATATAACTCCCCGTTTTTTAACTCGATAGTAACAACGTGGCCTTGCGCCTCGTGTAGCAGCTTCACCGGAATACCCAACGACTTACTCATTCTCTACTTAGTTATAATTTGCTAAACAAGAATCCGTTTTTTATTTTCTCAGCTCGCCCGTTGAAACTCCTAAGTGCTGCTCGAGACAGAGGCGAGAACACAAAGATCGACCGACTCACGATCAACTAGCGGATCTACGACAACCAGCTGCAGCGATTTCCGGCGCAATCTGCGGTCGAATTCGTTGATCGTCGATAACTGCCAGCGGCAGGATATAGGGCAACCGCAGCGAGAGCGCGATGATCAGCAGGGCAAGCAAACCCTAATCGCTCGATCGAGCAGGAGAAAGATCAAGAGCTCAGGAAAATACCGAAGGAAGAATTTGTAGGTGGGCAGGCGAAGGGCGTAAATCCTCGGAGTGCATTTCAATGCGGTTGCGTGCGATGGATTGCGGGGCAGAATGGTTTGATTGCAACCCGCCGTAGACACCCGCTGGGGCAGTCGGCCCTGCCCTCGCTTGAAGCGGTTACGACCGATATTGATTTTTATGAGTTGTGGGAATGGGGGGTGCGCGGGATCCAATATCGCGGAAATGATTACTGTAAGGATTTACAAATCCTTACTGAGGCGCTCGATAGCGAGGCCATCCCGAGGGCCACGCGACCAACTGGTTCGGCCTACAATTTCGCATCCCAACCTCACCGAGCCGCCTCCGCACCAATCGCGACACTTCGCGAGCCAACTCTACCACACCATCCCCGCCTAGCTAGGTTTTCCCCTATTTAGGCCTCGCTACTTCATTGTTCAGGCATTCTGTAGTTCAACATTCTCGTTATTCGATATCTGCGCACTCTGACAAGTTCATTCATAACACCTGGTATCAGAGCTACTTTCCTAGCCTACCCCGCTTTTTAGAGTGTATTACCCCTCGGGGGGGGGGACGAGGAAGGATGTCTTGGGGTCCAAGAGTTGCCTAGGCCAGCTTAGAGAACGGGTTAGTTGCTCTTCGCGGCCATGGATTTTTAGTGCACTCCTCGGCACCGCCAGATCCTTGCCTTCGACGGTCGCGATCGACCGTGGCCTCCCTCCCCCCGGGCAACGGACAGCTGGAGCTGTCGCGACTCTGAACGTGAGTACTATTCCGCTGCGTTATTTACCGACGATTTCGGATTTTGTGAGGCAGCTGGCGTCAGCGGACCTGCGTCGGCGCCTGCACGAAGATTTCGGAGTCGTCAACGGGTGTGGCAGTTGACGCCGTCGGATTTGGGTCAACAGCTGCGCGACAATCTCGGAGCTCGTCTGATGCGGCAAGTTACGACGGTGGCTCGTCGTCACTTTGCGGGCATGGCTCGCGGGAGGTGTTTCGGCAGCTGGCGACAGTGGATGTGCGTCACTGTGGCGATAATTTCGGAGCTACTGTTGAAGAAAAGTCGGTTGGGGAACTCGCCAGGCGCAAAAGGAGTTTGCGTCCGAAAAAGTCGGTGGCGAGGAGAGACGACACAAGACTGCCCGACTTAACGGGAGTTAACTGCCGTCCCGCCCGACCTGTTAAGTGCGGCGGCTTTTACCGCATTGGCGGGCGCGTCATCAACTATTTTCGGCAGGAGTGCTCGTGGACAGACGGGGCTTCATACCTGCTGACGCTTACGGGCTGCAACGGAAAACGCGGTGGCTAAACCGCACTTACGAGGAGTGGGACGCAGGCGACGAAGGAAATCGGGGCAGGTACACCTCGAAAGAACTCGTGCGACGCTGCGTGCCTGGTGTTGTTGCAAGCTGGCCGGCAGTATCGAGAACAGTTTCCCCTGACCAAGGACGTTGTTTTCGGGGACAGCTGCTGACAACCCACGGTTAAACGGTGTCCAAGGTACCGCCCGATAATTTCGGAGGGGTCGGTACAGGCTGCCGGGACACGCGAGAAGAAACGGCCCAACGGCTAAGCGGGGGTTGAAGAACGTTGCGGGGGCAGATTAAAAGCCGGTGGAATCGATCTGCGGCCCTACTTCGCCCGAACCTCACCATCCCCACCAAGTCCTGGTTCTGACTCATGCAGTCAACCTACTTGGCCGAATAACGGGGGTGAACACGTGGCCTACCCTGCGCTGGTTAAAGGTACCGGGATTGGTGCCCGTTCAACAGCTGTACAAGAAAAGGACAAAAAAAAGTGGAGCTCGCGGCACTGTTCTACTCCGACAAAAGCGGGCTGGGTGAACGGCACGCGAAAAAGTCGGGGAGCTGCGAAGAAGAAATGGTGCAGTCTACAGGTTTCTCCTGACCCGGGCGTCTACACGAATTGACGGCGCAGCGGCGAAGCTGAGACCGGGAAGCTGTGGAATTTTCGTGGCGTGATAGGCACGGCGGGCTGCAAAACGGTTGGGCGACAGTTTCCTTTTAACTAAGGCTGCCCCGACTCCGATAGTTTTTGCCTCTCCACCGTGGCCGAGTTCGCGTGGGCAACAACGACGATACCCCATCCGACAAAAGCGGACGCTGGGTGAACGGCGGGAAGCGGAATTGTCGGGGGGTGAATACGAAAAATATGACGACGGAGGGAAAGTTGTGGGTGATCCAGCAGATCACTTGAGTGATAGGTTGAGCCCGTGCACCAATCTACCGCGAATTTCGGAGTCTATTCGGTAGACCCCCGAAAGGGTTTGATATCGTTACATGGAGGCGCGGCGAGCGGTACATTGCCAAGGATACCTGGGATTCGCTAAGTAGTCCGGCGGGTACGAAGATGGGTGAACATCGGAGTACCAGGGAAAAAACGGCGGAAACGTCGGGGCTATACGGCGGAGAATAACTTCGGGACTGCAGCCTCAACTACGATTTTCGGGGTTATCTTTCTACAAAAAGAAAAAAAAAAAGAAAAAAAAAAAAAAAAAAAAAAAAAAAAAAAAAAAAAAAGAAAAAAAAAAGAGAAAAAAAAGAGTTGAAGCTGAGGGTGTTTCTTCGTTTCTTGGAGTGCGGTTGATACCTAGGACCCACGGGTGTTTAAACGTACACCGCGGGAAATTCTTCAGGGAGCGTGGGAGCAGCCGAGGCTTCGGGATTTACCTGCCGGTGACGAGCGATGAGGTGAAACATCGCAAAGCGCCAGTGGGAGTTTGCGTGGTTTTTAGTTAAGCGACACCGACTGGAGCAGTTTCGACGACGGGGTCAAAGGCGTTGATGCCTCTAGGTTCCGTGAAATTCGGTCTCGGAAGACCCAGGGCAGTCCCCGGTTCTCGATTGAACCCACATGCTGGGGTCGGGTAAACCGACGGAAACTGATGGTGACCGGGTGGGGGCTATAGCACGACCGAAGATTTCGGAGGCGAACTGCACCTGCAACTGCGGAGTTTCGGGGTTATGTTCCAACGACATTTTCGGAGATTTCAACGGGGACTTGCAGGTTTTACGGCGGGAAGCGGCGACAACATCGGAGGAGTATTCGGCGTTTGATTAAAAGCGCGCGCATTTGTGTGGGCAATACTGCGAGATCTACACAGAGTTTTCAAGGGGTACGAACGACTTACGACGAACTGGAGGTGGCAGCAGCAACAGTGGAAGGGGGGAGAGACAGCTGTAATTTTTTCATCTCTGCCCAGGACCCCTCGGCGCAACGCGACAAACTCCTCGGCGAGTCTGGACAAACTGCCGGGAGTAGCTGACGTCATCTGACCCTGATAAAGTGTTCGACAATTCTCCACGGAGCGACATTCAAATTGGTTACTGTTTCGACAACAATCGCCGACAACCGTATTCGACTTCGCGATCAATCGCCTTCATCGCCGACAGTTTCGTACCATCCCCGATTTTACGGCCAGAGGATTTCGGGACAGGAACTCCAACTCTACTAACGACAATTCGCCCACCTCGACCCGCCCAGGACAAATGAGTTTACATCCTGCCCACGTCAGGTGCTGCCAACTGCAACTGCTGGAGATACTGCAGGATTCTGGCATGTGAAGACAGAACAACTTCAGTTCGAGCAACGCAAAATTTTGGTTTCGGTTTCTGTTCTAATTTAGCTGGTTCGCCCTTGAAGATTTTGGGGCACGTAACAACTGGTTTCGTCATCGAATTTCCACACCGACACAATTCGCCTGGACTCTTCGCTCATCGCTCGTTTTCGGTGGGACTTAACACCCGGTTTTGTTTGTTTTCATCTCGGCGCAGCTGCTGGAACTTTTATGGTGTGTTTTCTTGGAGTGGGGGAGAAAGTGCTTCGCACTGTTCTTTCCTTGGCGTTTTCTTGGTCCTTTTCTGACTTTGTCAGGTTGCGTCAGCACGACGAACGACTACGATTGCTGCTTCACGATCAACGATCCCTACTCAATCGCGTTTGAATTCGCGTCAGCAGGTTCCCTCCAAAATCGCATCTGCCTCGACCGTCAGATTCGCTGCTGCTCGATCAACGGCCCACATTCCAACTTCCACTTCATTTTGGGCCAGCTCATCCTCATCCGTCAGATCGACATCTGACTGCATCTACGGCCCACAATCCAACTTTCATTACATTTGGGCCACTTCATCTTCGACCGTCAGATCGAAATCTGACAACATCAACGGCCGACATTCCAACCTTTTCAACAATATTGTCTGGGGCATTTCAGCCGTCGGATTCAGCTGAAGTGAAGATCAACGGCATCCTCGCTACTGGGTGACCCTTTTCAGTACAGGGCTGCCTTATTTAGGAGGTGGGAGAGTGTAAGGATTTACAAATCCTTACTGAGGCGCTCGATAGCGAGGCCATCCCGAGGGCCACGCGACCAACTGGTTCGGCCTACAATTTCGCATCCCAACCTCACCGAGCCGCCTCCGCACCAATCGCGACACTTCGCGAGCCAACTCTACCACACCATCCCCGCCTAGCTAGGTTTTCCCCTATTTAGGCCTCGCTACTTCATTGTTCAGGCATTCTGTAGTTCAACATTCTCGTTATTCGATATCTGCGCACTCTGACAAGTTCATTCATAACAATTACAACTACTGATCGAACAACGAGGCCTAGGCACAATATAGCAAAGCTAGCTAGGCCGAGGTCGCGGAGTCGCGCGAAGGTTGGGTGCAGGTTTGGGGTTGGAAAACCCGAAGGCGACGCGGTTGACGTTCGGAAGGCGAGGTCGTCGGACCGAGCCTGAATTCCGAAGGTTGGAATTGTACGCGTAAGAACAGCCTCAGTAAGGAATTAGCAAAATTCCTTACACTACCCCCCCCCTTAAGAAAGGTGGTCAACATCAGGCACACGTCGGCGGGAGAGATAATCCCGAAGGACCGAGTGCCCTTGGAGCGAGTCAGCGGGGACCCACGTGTCATCTTCGCTTGTGCGATCCACCCAGCGTAGCAGGAAGTCAACGTGGCGTCCAGCGGGGGTCGCACGAATGCGGTGATTCAGGATCTTCCAAGGTTGAAGTGTCGGATCTGCCACAGGTCGGACACTTGGCGCCAGGTTGGGTCGAGCGACGTCGGACGGCTGCGGGGCTACGTAATGGCGGAGGAGGCTGACGTGGAAGGCGTCGTGGATCTTCCAGTCGTCCGGTAAGAGAAGTTTCGCCGTGATCGGTGTCAGCATCCGAATGATGCGGAAAGGTCCCACGTAGCGGGGATGCAATTTTGCGGGCTGGGGCAGTTTGAGGTTCTTTGTGTCTAGAAGGACCATCTGCCCGTCACGGAAGGGTAAATTCCGTCGATGTCGGTCCGCGTAGCGGCTGGCGGCTGTATTAGCCTTTCGGATAAATTCCGCTGCTTTATCGCGTGCTGCTTGAAGTTCCGAGACGAACTGCTGCGATCGTGGTACCGGATTTTCAGGGGTCGTCGACGAGGGTACCACCGGATCTATCCCGTAATTGAGGTAGAACGGTGACTGATTGGTCGTCGCAGATGGGGCATTGTTGTACGCGAACTCGAGCATGGGAAGCGAATCTTCCCACTTGGTGATGTCGGGGCAGTTTGTACGGATTAACTGCTCCATCGTCTGGTTTGTCCTCTCTGTCTGGCCGTCGGTCTGTGGGTGATATGACGACGAAAACTGCAGACGGGTGCCGTACTGTGCCCATGTCTCCTGCCAGAACTTCGACGTGAATTTCGGGTCGCGGTCGCTGATGATCGCCGAAGGTAACCCGTGTAGTCGTACGACAGTTGCGATGAATAGCTTTGCTGTTTCTTCGGCTGTGATCGTCGTGCGACATGGTGCGAAATGCGCCATTTTCGTTAAGCGATCGACGACCACGAGCACGGAGTCGTTGCCACTTGCGCCAGTTGGCAGTCCCGTAACGAAGTCCATCGTCACCTGTTGCCATGGTCGTTCGGGCGGCTCGAGGGGCTGCAGCAGTCCAGCCGGGCGTTGGCGTGATGATTTCATTGCTTGGCAGGTCGGGCAGGCGGACACGTAGCGCTGCACGTCCGACGCCATGTCGGGCCAGAAATAATTCCGCTGCAGCAGCTTCAACGTTTTGTCGATGCCGAAATGCCCGGATAGATTGGAGTCGTGGACTTCCTGCGTCAGCAATTCTCTGAGGGGTCGGTAGGAAGGTACCCAAACGCGGTTGGTACCGGCTTTTAGGTAGTAGCTCCCATACGCTGTGGTGACCCGTTGGTGTAGGTTGGTCCTGAAAAACCTGTCAGTTCGGTAGCCATGCTTGAATAATCCTGCCAATAAAGGGTTAGAATGGGCGATTAGTACTGCTGCGGCTTGCATGGATGGGCGGGTCAGGGCGTCGGCGATGTTGTTGGCGCCCTTCTTGTACGTGATGGTGTAGCTGAAGTTGGACTCGAGGTAATCGAGCCACCGAATTTGTCGCGGGTTGAGCTGTGGTTGGCTGCGCATGTACTGTAATGACTTGTGGTCGGTCCGGACGGTGACGTCAGCTCCCGTGAGATAACAGCGCCAGGTACGAAATGCATGCACGATGGCGAGCATTTCTTTGTCGTGTACAGGGTAGTTGCGCTCGGGCGGCTGCATTTTTCTTGACTCGTACGCGATGGGTTGCAGTCCGTTGCCGAAATCTTGTAGTAGCACGGCGCCGACGGTGAAATCGCTTGCGTCCGTCACAACCTCGAACGGTCGAGATGGATCTGCCAGGCGAAGTACCGGGGGTGAACTCAAAACTTTTTTCAGCTCGTCGAAGGCCAGTTGCTCTCCCCCCCCCCCACAAAAATTGCACGCCCTTATGCAGAAGATCGGTTAGCGGTCTGGTCACCCCCGCCATATTCGGTACAAAACGGCGGACGTAGTTTACGAAACCGAGGAAACTCTGCAGCTCCGTGATGTTCGTGGGCGGCTTCCACTCCGAAATCGCTTTAATTTTACGAGGGTCAATTTTAATACCCTCCCCTGAAACTACGTGCCCCAGGAACTCCAGCTCCGGCTGTAAGAACTCACACTTAGAGCCCTTGGTAATCAGTCGGTTCTGCTGCAAGCGCCGGAACACCTCGTCTAAGTCCCGTAAATGCTGCTCCCGAGTCTTGCTGTACACCAGGATGTCGTCCAGGTAAACTATCACCTTTTTGTCCAGCATGTCCCGAAACACCCCATTCATGGTGAGCTGGAAGGTCGAGGGTGCGTTCGTCAGTCCGAACGGCATCACTGTATATTCGTAGCTGCCGTAACGGGTGTGAAACGCTGTCTTCGGGCAGTCGTCGGCGAACACGCGAATTTGATGGTAGCCACCTCGCAAATCGATTTTCGAGAAGAAGCGAGCCCCGCGAAGCTGATCCAGCAGGTCGTCCGCTCGCGGAATCGGGTAACGCGACTTGATGGTGATCCGATTCAGCGCTCGATAGTCGATACACATGCGCAGGCACCCGTCTTTCTTCGGTGTGAACAGTATCGGGGCGGCGTAGGGTGACGTGCTCGGCCGGATAAAACCTTTCGAGAGCAGATAATCCAGCTGTTTCCGCAACTCGTCGAGCTCCGGTTGGCTGAGCCGCCACTGTGACCGAACGGTTGGTTTGGCGCCTGGCTCCAGCTCGATCCTGTGGTCCTCCGGACGCTGAGGTGGCAGCCCATCAGGTAGGTCATCCGCGAAAATTTCGGGATACCTCCGAATTATGCTCGCCACGTCGTCAGGCACGGCAGCGCAGAGCGTGTCAATGTCGGCGATTTTCTCGGACGCCACCACCTCGTACAGCTGTACGGCGTAGCCTTGCGCTCCCCGTTTGATCGCCCTCGTCAGCGTGATTGCGTTGACACGTGTTGTCATCGGTTCCGGCTCCGCCCATTTCGGAAGTGTCACGCGCCCCTTGTTGCTCAGCACCGTGATTGCCCCCGTCGTCCAGTCGATCGTCGGATTGAATCGCTGTAGCCAATCTCGTCCAGTAGCACATCGCAACCGTCCAGTGTCGTCGCCAGCATCTTCATCGAAAACCCGAAATCGTCGCCACACTTCATCCGAATTTGTCGGACCTCGTCCTTAATCGCCAGCGGTGTTGTGTCCACCAGTCGCGCATCAATCTCGGGCAGACACCTGTCCAGCTTGACTCCAATTTTTTTGGCCGTTGCCAGGTTGACGAGACTGTGGCTCGCCCCACCGTCAACGAATAATTTTATTTTATGTCCGTTAACCCTCCCCACGACCAGCACAGGGTGATCCACGTGTTCATCCACTTTATTCGTCCGGTTGCGGTCGATAGCCCGTATCGGTTGTCAGAATGTTATATTTGTCTAGCCTGCAGTGGGGTGCTCTGTAGCGAGTACAACCCTTCTAGGGTTTGCTATTTGTATCCTGTGGGTGGGCCCACCACCTAATGCTTCCGCTGCTGTACTTCCTGCCGGGCGCCTCGGGCGCGCGACGACTTCTTCCTGCCGTGCCGAATTTTTTCTAGGGTTTCGGCGGTTTTCATCCCGCCGTGCGCTCGGGGCGCGCGGCGGTTTTCTGCACGCCGTGCGCCCCGAGGCGCGCGGCGGTTTCCCACCGTCGAAGCGCCCTCCCCCCGTCGCCGTCGACCCCCCGCGTCGCCCCCGACGTCTCGTCGCGACACCTTGGGGAGCCGCGCGCGGCCCCCCGCTACCTCGTCGCGACGCCGTGGGGAGCTGCGCGCGGCCCCCGCTGCCTCGTCGCGACGCCTTAGGGAGCCGCGCGCGGCCCCCCGCTGCCCCGTCGAGGCGCCCTGGGGAGCCGCGCGCGGCCCCCGCTGCCCAGAGGTGGCGCCCTGGGGGTCGCGCGCCTTCCCCCTCGCCGTCCCCCGCGCTCCTTCTCCCTTTCGCCCGTTTTAGGGTTTGGGGGTGGGGAGTGTGGGGGTGGCGGCTGTGGGGGTGTCGGTTGTGCGTTACTCTACCTACTCCTCCTCCTCCCTAGTCTCCCTCTACTGCAGCTGCCGCTGAGGGGGGTGGTGTGTGGGAGTCTAGGGTTTGGGGTTTAAGGGGGGGTACCGTGGGAGTGGAGCTAGGGGTGAAGCAAGGGGTGTGTGTCGAGGGGTGTGGGACTGTTGGGGGAGGTTGAGCGGAGACTGCCGTCGTGTCGTCCGCAGCACCTGTATTCCGGGGTTCCGCGGACCTCCGGTAGCTCAGAGAGCCGGCTGCACCTGTCGCCCGTGGGTCCGCTGCACCCTCCGCAGCGACTATTACCCCTGTAGTCCGGGGCTCTGCTTCCGGTAGCCACTAGCGTTGCGCCAGAGCCGTCTGATGCCCGTGTGTCTGCAGCTTCAGTCGTCGCCTCCACTCCTTTCTCCTCTCGCCAGCCCTCCTCCTCCTCATTTGTCCTCTGTGACCGCCTCTAGCTTTGCTCATAACTTATAAACTGTTGCTTCTTGAACTTGTGCTCAGAATGTGTGGTGACATCGTGATCCACCCTGAGCTTGTACTGCTTTGCTTGCTCTGCTGATTACACCCCACTTTGGCTATGGGGGTGTGTCAGAATGTTATATTTGTCTAGCCTGCAGTGGGGTGCTCTGTAGCGAGTACAACCCTTCTAGGGTTTGCTATTTGTATCCCCATTCTTGCTAGTTCAACCCCCTCTCTTTTTGCCTAATTCTCTCGACATCGGTACCACTACTCGGTGTGGATGGTGATTGCCGGGCGACGGGGTCTCGTCAGTAGGTGGCCCGACTGCTACTGACTCGTCTCTTTTCCCGACCCCTCTCCGTCGTTCCTGTTTCCCTGTTTCAGCTGCGGGCAGTCCTTCTTCCAGTGGCCCGGTTGGTGGCAGTTGAAGCACGTGTTAGGTCCACGTCTAGGCGCCTCCACACCGTTGATTGTGGGCTGGCGCGGCGGTCCACGAAATTGAGTGCCCTCCCGGGAACTCATTCTCGCCCATTGCATCAGCGCATCCGTAGATTCGGCCACCTGGACGGCATCGAGGAAATCGCGTGGCCTCGCCCGTCGCACCTCGTACTGTACTTCGTATTTGAGGCCCGCGACATAACGGTCGAGTCGCTCCGCATCGCTCATGTCGTCCACCTGGTCAGCCAAATTGCAGAATGTTGCCGTGTAATCTTGGACCGACGCCACCTGCTTCCAGGTACGCAGCTTCATGCGGGCAGAATCCGAGGCGGATACATGCTCGAATCTGGTCCGCAGCGCGGCGCCCCACTCCGTCCATGTGCGTATCGTGGCCACTCCGAAGATTGAAGTTGCTCCTTGCGTGACAGTTGTCCAGGTCCCGTCGTTCGCACGTGACAGCCCTGCCGGAGTCCCCTCTGTTTGAAGCGTTCGCCTCCACCACTCCAACGCTGGTCCCCGCAACAGTGATACTGCAAAATTAATTCGGGTGGCATCGTCAGCAATTTGCGCAGCATTGAAAAACACCTCCACGCCGAACAACCATGCAGATACAGTGACCGTTTTGTCACTCGGGTTGAACGGGGGCGGGTTCGTCGGCTTTATCTTGATAGTTGTTGAGACTGTTGCTGCTGCATGCATCGGGGACGCCACTGAGGCCATCGCCGGGGTTGTCGCTGGTGCATGTCGTGGTATTGACGGCGACTGTTGCCTCCGCGTTGGTTGCTCCTGTTGCTGCTGTCGTGGCGTTTCCCGTGCTTGTTGCTGCCGTGCTGCCCACTCGTCTTCAGCGTTCTGGTCGGCATCCAGCTCATCGAACACGTTTTCGTTGAGTGCAGAGCTGCTACTTGCTTCATCCACGACGGGCGACTCCTGACGCGCTTCACCTCGCGTCTGGCGTAGCTCGGCGTTTTCTTCCCTCAGGCGCTCCAACTCGCCATTCATGGATAGCATGTTGGCCTGCATCGCCCGAAAATCCTGCACGAAGGCGTCAAACTCGACCTGCGTCATGTTTCGGATACTCATCCTAGCGGGCAGCGGGTTAACAGCGATTTTTATGGTTTTGATGAAGGCGCAAACGCTATTAGTCGGAGCGAGATAATCGTATCTATCTCTCAGCCGACCGCTTTGCAGCCCACCAAACCTATCGCACCCCTGCACTAAAACTACCCCGGAAAGTGGTGGGTAACCTAGGAAAGTAGCTCTGATACCAAGTGTTATGAGTTGTAAGAATGAAGAGTGCGCAGAATGCAATATCGCGGAAGTGATTACAACTACTGATCGAACAACGAGGCCTAGGCACAATATAGCAAAGCTAGCTAGGCCGAGGTCGCGGAGTCGCGCGAAGGTTGGGTGCAGGTTTGGGGTTGGAAAACCCGAAGGCGACGCGGTTGACGTTCGGAAGGCGAGGTCGTCGGACCGAGCCTGAATTCCGAAGGTTGGAATTGTACGCGTAAGAACAGCCTCAGTAAGGAATTAGCGAAATTCCTTACATTGATTCAACACCATGTATACTTACAATTCAAAAAAAAAAGCAACAAATGCACACCAGTTATATTACAGCTAAACCGTCTAGGGCAAAACATATTACTACATATTAGTTGCAGAAAACGGTGAAATATATACCACGCTTTTATTGCCTATTTATGTCCCACTGCCGAGCATCCCGTCAAGTAGCTCAAGCTCATCCTCCATACTGCGTTGGGGTCCCGAACCCTGCCTCCGAAACTCCTTATCAATCTTGAGCAGCCTAGTATCCTTTGTCGATGCTTGAACTTCAAAAAAATCCCTTCGCATTGCGCCCAACTGCGCGGCAACATCAATCATGTGCGGTCGTGACGAGGCGAGGAGCGACGTGCATTGAAGAGCAAGCTCAACGAGTTTGAGTAGAAGTTTTTTGGGCACCGAATCAAGACTGGGGTCTTTAAGGGCTTCTATGTCGTTCGCTTGCATGCGTTTATCGACCTGGACACGCGGACAATAGAAGATAGGCAAGAAAGAGTGACACATTTTCTGTGTTTTTCAGAAACAAAAGAGAATGGAGCATAGGGAAAAGGAAAAATAGCACATGAAAGCTAACACCATATACACTTACCCATGAAAGGTGAAAGATACCTATACGGCCAGTTACACTGTACTGTGTACACTTACCCAGTCTCGAATGTTAATTCCGCCACTCTCGAGCATCACAACAGGCTTGGTCAGCATGATCTCAAGCATCATCACCCCGAAGCTGTTGGAAAGGGGGGGTGGGTGGGATAAACACATTCGCACTTGGGTGTGTTCTGAGTCGACTCAAAACACAACAGGCTTGGTCAGCATGATTTCGAGCATCATCACACCGAAGCTGTTGAAGCAGGGCGTCAGTTGAACAAGGTAAACAGAAAGGAAGAAAAAGCACGAGTACATTGTGAGAAAAAAAACTAACCTCTGGCAGCAACAGCGAGCAGAGCATATCATTAGGAAGGGCTTATAAAAAGCCATCAAAGATGCTTATGACCGAGAGGGATAGTAATAGCAATTTCTTCATGACGCTCACCTGTGCAAGTCAGCCATAAGGACGGCCCTGTATTAACCCGACCCACCTGTAAACGTCAGCCATGGGGGTAACCTTGCTGGTGCGCGAGTAAGCAGGGTCCACATAGCCTGGAGTGCCAACCACTCGGGTGGGATTCACTGTTGTGCCTTCTGTCATGCGCACCAGCCCGAAATCTGATACCTTCGCCTGCAGTTGATGAGCAGCGAAGGGGGGGAGGGGACAAAATTCACGAGGAGGCTTCTGTCATGCGCACCAGCCCGAAATCTGAGACCTTTGACTAGAGGAGAGGGAGATGGCGGGTGGGAAAAGAGAGAGGGGCGTTTCAAGAACAAAGGCTAAATCTTAGCAAATCATAGAGCACAAATAGCTCTAGTTCGTCAACCAACTGGGCGAAAAATGACATGTTTCCTTGGTGGGTCAGCGCACCCACACTCCCTCAGTACGACACCTGTAGCTCTTGAAGAGACCTCTTCGAGCCATTTCAGTGTCCACTTCCAACACTCCCTTCATTAGGAGGACCCACCACTAAAGCACACGAAGTCAACTGACAATAGGAATCGAATCCTGGTCTTCTCCACGCTCACCGCACCATGGAGGAATAACTCCAGTTTGTTAGGGCGCGTTCGTTCCGTTGCCAAGTTCGGAAAAAAGTTCGACCTTTAGGTGGTTACCCGTTTCGCCAATTTCGTGAAAGCCATTTTACGAAATTCGCAAAACCATCGGTTTCCAAAAGTTCGCCCTTAGAAGCTGAGTCAGACTCGAGTTTTTCTTGTGAACGTGGGTGCGCACGTACAAGCGCACTTGTGAGGTTTGGCGCACGTACGACGACCAGGCGAAACCGCCGACGAGCTGGCGAAGCTCTACATGGCTCGACGAACGCACGTTGCGACAAGGGCGCGTGTCGCCTGACACGTGTATCCGTTTGTAACACGACTCCAGAATTTCCATGACCGCAGTTCAGCCATCTTGACACATCCCGCCCCCGACTGTGCCACGTCACAGATTCCCTGGCGAAGAGGCAATATCGGCTCGAGTAGAGAACGGAATGTATGAAATGTGAATTGTTGGTTCATTCAAACCCCCAAGCCTTCTGAAAGAAAAACTCCCGCCATGACGAACACCAGTGCTAGCACACAAGGCACCGCCCCACCAGACGCATCGTTAATAGACGCTGGCAGTAACACCGCAAACAACGCTCCCTCGGCCCTCGCCCAGGCTCCCCCCCGTCGTCGGCGTCCAGCCGTCGAGCCGACTGGCAACCGTCGGCTGGAGGTGATAGATCTGGACACTATCGTCGCAAGTGTCCCCGCCCCGAACACTCCTCTCGGCCTGGACGACGACACACTCGCGTACTTCGACGCGGGCGAGGTCGAGTGCGACGACGATAACACTGCTGAAGAGGACACAGACTCCGCCATGCCGGCCGACAGGAAGGGGTGGCAGCCGGAGGAAGTCATGCAGCTCGCGTGGATCCGCCATGACTTCGACGAGCAGTATCGCAGTCAGACTCGCCTGCAGGGACAGAATCACGAGCTGATGCTCTACGACAAAGTCCGCGCGCGACATCCGGGCTGGCGCCACGGCTTCGCCGCCACGAAGGCGAAGGTGTTTCGTATGGAAACGCACTATCGGAAGGTCAGGGACCTTCTGTTGAAGCCATCCGGAAAGGGAAAGCCGCCGAAAATACCGATATTCTACGACATCTTCGAGCGCTTCTTGGGCGAACGGGCAAATGCGCGCCCGCCGGCTCTCGCGAGGAGCCTCCCCGGGGCAAACACCCCCGTGATTCCGCCCGTGGCAGCCGCCACCGCAGGTAAGTTCATGTAGCATTTTTTATTGATTAAAGATTCCCGAGTTTGGATGTCTCATTGCTCACAATAGTACAACCACGCAATCTGGAAGAAAACACGGCGGTACATGCTTACAACGGACTCCACTGATCTCCCCTATACGACGCCCACCAACCCCAGGTGTGGCATCTCCTACTCCCGCCATGGCGGGCACGTCGCTGCTCGATGGCCCTGCGGCTTCTCCTGGACGTGCGCATACGGCCAAGCGCTTATCCGCCTCGCCTGGTCACTCGCCTTCGCGCCGGACTTTGACTACTCCGGCCACAGCGACGACTGCGCCGTCAGGACTTCCCGCCGGGACGGCCTCGACAGCTTCGCCGAACGAATCAGACGTCGTCGGCGCGCATGCGGGTGTTGCGCTCGGTGGCCGCGGCGTCTCCCATCGGCCTAGGCCTGCGGCTGCCGTTGACGGGACGTTGGGATCAGACACAGAGGGGGGAAGTGTTAGCACTCTGCTTAATGCAAACGACTCTCAACTGTGTGCCCAAATTGCAGGAATCATTGCGCTCTCCATGAAAGGCGCGATGAAGGACCAGTTTGACGAGTTCCTGGAACGTACCCAAGCGATGGTTGAGTCTCATCAGGATGTCCGAGCCTCCAAGAGGCGTAGAAGTACGCCGACAAGCGAGCGCGACGACGTGTCGGAGTAAAGCCGGGATCACGGGGCGAGATGTGCGGCGCGTCCGCCACGGGTCCTTCCAGCCATCATGTGTTGCGCTCACGGGGTTCGGACAGGCGGGGGCGGAAACCGAGGACAAGGTCGATGTTGTGAAGCGCGATGCAGGCGGAGACGACTTGCGGGGCGCGGAACACATCGCATTCGAGTCGCCCGTCTAGAATGCGCCATCGGGTCTTGAGTCTCCCGTTGACCTGTTCAACGATCATCCGCGTGCGGGATTGCTGAAGATTCCACACCCGCTGCTCGTCAGGCAGCGTGCGGCCAGGCAGGGCCCGGTAGGGGGTGTAGATGTAGTTTCGGAGGCCGTAGGCTGCGTCTGCTACCAGTGTGTAGTCCAAAATGCCACCTTCCTCAATTTTCACTCTTGCGGGACTGTTCATGAAAACACGCGCGTCATTAACACTGCCAGGATAACCAACAAAAAAATCCCATACAAGTCCCATGCTGTCACAGATTAGCTGGCAGATGATGGAGAAGAATCCTTTGCGGTTTCGAAAGTCTTCGCAGTGGGGCCCCTGACCGCGGCAGTGGATGTAGGTGCCGTCCATGGCGCCCACCACTCCAGGAATACCACCACGTACGCGAAACTCCGTTTCGAACAACCGCATCATCTCCAAGTGGGGCCAGCACACCCACTTGGGCATTAACACTTCATTCACAAAGTTGATGAAGCGCGTGAAAAGCTTGTGCGAGTGAGAAATGGTGTAGCCGAAGTGTAGTCTAATTTCACGAAATGTCAGTCCGTGGCCAAGTCTGCTTAATCCCATGGCAACGAAGACGAAATTGTGCACCGGATGTTTAAGCGTGACAAAACGACTGCGTTGATACTGCCGAATCAAATAGACGAAAACCCGTTTGTCAACACGTAAGTACTCATAGAAATTGTGTTCGGGCAGGGACGTTATCAGCCGGAACCATCGCACACGTGCGTCGAGTCGATCCCCACGCACGAAGACACGGGACTGCCTGAGGGTGAAGGCAGAGACGATGGTAGGAAGAGCCGTACCAACCGCGTTGAGCACCGGCAGCATGACCATTTGCAGGTATCCCTGCCATACTATGCCGAGGAAACGAACGAGCTGGAGAAGCGTCATTGTGATTGTTTGGCAAATATCTGTGGTGCCACGGGGGCTATTTGTACCCCAGAACACATGGGGCGCGCAGCTGTGTTGGAGGTCTACTCGGATGTAACTCGAGGCGCACCAGGTTGACGTGTCGCAACGTCAAGTCCCTTGTACCGGGTAACCTACGGTTTGGGGTGCGGCTCGGTACTTTGTTTACAGGGTCGAATGTCGGAAATCGACCTTGAGAGTGTGATTGTATGTTTGCAGTGTTGTTCAGTCAAAGGGCGAACTTCGGTAGAAGGAAACTCGATTTTGGTTCGACGAAAGTTCAAAATATGAAATTCGCTCTTACAATGTAAACTTTGCCATATTTGACGGAACGAACGCGCCCTTAACTAACTGGGATAAAACAACATGTTTCCTTGATGGGCTTCAGCGCACCCATACCCCCCCCACAAGGACTCTGACCACAACCACACTAACCACCCAACCATCAACCCCTCCTTTTCCCACCCGTACCTGCATGTGGGCATCGAGCAGCACGTTGGCGGGCTTGATGTCTCGATGCACGATGTCAAACTGGTGGAGGTACTCCAACCCCCGCGCCACCCCCACCAGCACGTCCATTCGCTGTTGCAGCGTCAACGTGCCCTTTTTGGGTCCTGCACGGAGAGATGATGGGATGAAGTGATTTATAACAAAAATACACAGACGACTTTCGAAAAGACAATACCATTTTAATTAGAGTTGCAACTGTAAGTACTTGAGTTGAAGTGGTTGATTAAGTAATGAAGCTAAAAGCTTACAAGTACATCTAAATGGATTGTTAGTTAACAGTGAGAATATGTTTGGGAAAAAAAATCCGGCGAGATCAATCGAAATTTCTTATTGGTGATCTATTTTCTTCCATGTGATCATATTTAGGTAATTTTGGAATTTGTGTTTAATCCTAAGTAAACAAGATCATACTTTTTTTTTGGGTGCTTTGAGCTTCATGATTTAATCAACCACTTCAACTCAAGTACTTATAGTCGCAACCTTTAATGAAGTACGGCTCTCACAACAAAAAAAAAGTACATTGATTGAATATGATAAAAAAAGCGAAAATAACAAAAGAAAACCTTTCCTTTACCAAGTAACAACCGCATTGCAATGGTGAGTGCAATGCAGTGCCCCAACAATGCCTCTTCTCTTATAATAATCCACTCACCTCCACTCAGATACTTCTCGAGGTCCCCATTGGCACAGAACTCATAAATGACAATCTGCTCGTAGTGCTCTGTGGTTGTATCCATGTCCACACAGTACCCCAGCAGCCGCACCAAGTGCGGATGGCTCTTTGATGCCATCTCCTCCACCTGCAAGGGTAGGGGGGGGGGAGTGTTGAAGGAAAGAGGGATGAGGGGACTCTTGGGAGATGAGTGAGCAGGAGTGGCATTTCTTTGATGCCATCTCCCCCACCTGCAGGGCGAACGGAGATGAAGGGAATAGAAAAAAAAAGAGGGCCAATGAGTTGACGGCTCTTTGATGCCATCTCCTCCATCTGCCCAGGAAGGAAAGACATTTGCGGGAGAATGAGCACGCAAAATCGATTGTGAGGACAATTATTGTAATTGTTGAAAATAGTAGATTGAAAAGAAGAAAACTTTCAGCCCTTGCCCCCCTCACTCACGCACCTCTCGCTTGAAGTCATTCGTGAGAATCTTGGCGCGCTTCACAGCCCACACCACCGAGGGATCATCAGGGCACACCCCCCGATACACCTCCCCATAAGCTCCCGACCCAATGCGGTTTGCCTCTGCCCAGTCGCCAGTCGCCTTGGCCACCACAGCTAAGGGGTATCGCTGGCACATGAGCGACTGCGTTGGTACTGAGGCCCCTCCCCCCCTCGATGCTCCATTGCTTGGTTTGGCACCACTTGAGGACTCACGCGCTGAGTGGGTGGAAGTGGATGGGAGTGGGCAGTGGGCATGGGGAGGACGAGGGGAGTCAACCACAGCTAAGGGGTATCGCTGGCACATGAGCGACTGCGTTGGTACTGATGCCCCTCCCCCCCTCAATGCTCCATTGCTTGGTTTGGCACCACTTGAGGACTCATGTGCTGGGTAGGGGAGTGGGCACGGGGAGAGGAGAGGGGGAGAGAGAGAAGAATCAAGCATTTCTTAAGGCATCTGAAAAGCACCGTCAATGCTCCATCACTTGGTTTGGGAGCACTTCACGACTCACGTGCTGGTGGTGGATGGGAGTGGGCCAAGGGCATGGGGGATGGGGATGGGGAGTCAACCACAGCTAAGGGGTATCGCTGACGCTGACACATGAGGGATTGGGTTGGTACCGATGCTCCTCCCCCTCTCGACTCGATGCTCCACCACTTGCTCTGGGCCCACTTGAATACTCACGTGCTGGGTGGGTGGGTGGGTGGTTGGGTGGGAGTGGGCGTGGGCATGGGGGGGGGGTGGGAGGAGAGTCAGGCTTTAAGTGCCTCAAAAACCCTTACAATGCTCCACCACTTGCTCTGGGCCCACTTGAGGACTGACTTGCTGGGTGGGTGGGTGGGAGTGGGCACGGGGAGAGGGGAGGGGGAGAGAGAGAAGAGTCACGCATTTCTTAAGGCATCTGAAAAGCACCGTCAATGCTCCATCACTTGCTCTGGGCCCACTTGAGGACTCACGTGCTGGGTAGGGGAGTGGGCATGGGGAGAGGGGAGGGGGAGAGAGAGAAGAGTCACGCATTTCTTAAGGCATCTGAAAAGCACCGTCAATGCTCCATCACTTGCTCTGAGCCCACTTGAGGACTCACGTGCTGGGTGGGTGGGTGGGTGGGTGGGTGGGTGAGTGGGAGTGGGCATGGGGGGGGGGGGTGGGAGGAGAGTCAGGCTTTAAGTGCCTCAAAAACCCTGTGCTCCACCACTTGCTCTGGGCCCACTTGAGGACTCACGAGCTGGGTGGGTGGGTGGGAGTGGGCATGGGGGAAGAGGAGTCTGTCATTTTCAAATGAGCCGAAACCAGAACATGGGCAAAGAATGGGGGCATGTTGACAAACATGAGAACATGCTGACAAACCGCTGCTCATCGCTATGACAACTCACCACACCGCACCACACCACAGCCTACCACTTTACCTTTTTCAGCCTCCGTTTCCAGAGAAAGAAAATGCAGACATCAAGGAGAGCAGCAGCTAGGACAGCTCCCACGGCGATTCCAATGGTAGCTTGCACAGACAGGCCGAAGGATGGAGGAGGAGAAGGAGGTGAGGGAGGGGATATGGAGAGGCACTTTACCTTTGCTGGAGCTGCGTTTGCAGAGAAAGAACACGGCTACAGCGAGGAGAGCAGCAGCTAGGACAGCTCCCACGGCGATTCCAATGATAGCTCGCACAGACAGGCCGAAGGATGGAGGAGGAGGAGGAGGTGAGGGAGGGGATATGGAGAGGCACTTTACCTTTGCTGGAGCTGCGTTTGCAGAGAAAGAACACGGCTACAGTGAGGAGAGCAGCAGCTAGGACAGCTCCCACAGCAATCCCAACAATAGCTCCCACAGACAGACCCGAGGAGGGAGGAGGAGGAGCAGGAGGAGAGGGAGGGGTGGGTGCAGCGATGGGGATGCAGGAGGGGCAGAACTCGCTGCACTGGTAGCAGAACTGGGAGGAGGGGCTCTGCTTGACCACGCAGGAGTGCCCGGCTCCTGTGGGGCATTCGGCCCCACTCTCCAGCACTTCACTGTGTGGGGAGGAAAGGAGGAGGAGAGGGAAGGAGGGGTCAGGTCAGGGAAAGGCTGTTCTTTGAGCTATGCTTCAGAACTCGCTGCACTGGTAGCAGAACTGGGAGGAGGGGCTCTGCTTGACCACGCAGGAGTGCCCGGCTCCTGTGGCGCATACCGCCCCACTTTCCAGCACCTCACTGCAGTGAGGGAGGGACGGAAAGGGAAAGAGAACAAGAGAAAGAAGAGTGGAATGATGGAAGAACGGAAGGGCAGAACTGCGAGGAGGGGCTCTGCTTGACCATGCAGGGCTGCTGCCCGGCTCCTGTGGCGCACAGGCTAAGGGGTATCACCCCGCTCCTGTCCAGCACAACCCCCCATCCCGTTCTCCTTGTGGCCTACAGGCTAATGAGATCAGATAGACGAGGTTTTTCTAAGTGTGGGAGGCACCGAGCCTGGGAGAGTGACTTTGGGGTGCTTCAGAAATTGAGGTGTTTGAGGTGCTTTTGACGTTTTTCTACCCCCACCCTCCTCCTCCGTGCTGCTCACAGGTTTGTTAGATGAACGAGGTTACCAAGGGTTGGAGGCACAGTGCCGGAGAGATTGTTGATGTCGAAGCTCCTGCATGGGGATGGATTGGAGAAGGGATAACGGCGTATTCATGGTGACTTTTGAGTCGCCTCACAAGAGTTGGAGGCACAGAACCTGAGGGGTGATTGATGTCGAAGCTTCTGCGCGCGGCAAATGAGAATGAAGGGATGAGGGATAGATAGATGAATGAAGGTGTGAGGGCGAGTTTAGGAAGGATTTAGGGCCCACTCGTGATGGGAGGAGGGCGAACCACTCATGATGGGTGGGACGAGGGCGAACCAGTGGTTCAAAGGAGATTTACCTATTTAGCTAGCTAGCAGGAGTTGACTTTTGAGTCGACTCAAAAGTAAACTCGGGCGAACCAGTGGTTCAAAGGAGATTTAACTATTTAGCTAGCTAGCAGGAGAGACTAAATGAGCAGAAAGACTTGGCAAGTCGATCGATTAGACAGGCATTGCATCAAGTGACGCGTTAGCGTTTCGGTCAAGGAGGCCTTCATCAGCATCAGTGCAGTGCAGTGCCCTTACAGGAGCGGTGCTGTGAGTCAACTCAAGACACGGCTCATTGAGTCGATTCAGAACACGTTTCGGTCAAGGAGGCCTTCATCAGCATGAGTGCAGTGCAGTGCAGTGCAGTGCAGTGCAGTGCAGTGCAGTGCAGTGCAGTGCAGTGCAGTACAGTGCAGTGCAGTGCAGTGCACTTACAGGAGTGTGAGCTTCGTGAGGTTTCCCAGTTCGGATGGAAAATGTGTCGTGTGCCATTGTAACGAGGTGCCTTTCGAGTCGACTCAATAGTCACATCCTTTTGAGTCAACTCACAACTCAGCATCAGTGCAGTGCTCTTACAGGAGTGTGAGCTTTGTGAGGTTTCCCAGTTCGGATGGAATCTCTCCTGAAAACTGGTTCTGGCGAAACGACCTGAGAAGAGAAAACGTCGGTGCAAAGAGGAAGAAGAGCATTAGAATCTCCAAAGATGTGTGCACATTACTGCTGGAATCGAGAAGAAGTAAATCAGGGCAGCACCAAATCCAACTATGAAAACATACAATAGATAAACAACCATTTGAATTTAGTTTTACAAACGATACGAGTGTACCTAAGTATGTAAGTGCGAGTCTCACTAGCATTTCACGTTGGACAGTTCGCTAGCGTAGCCAAAGCTATAAATAGTTTTCAACAGTGACACCGGCAAAATATCTACATGGCGAAGGATAAAAAGACGTGGAAACTCACTCACAACATGTAAAGATTGGTGAGGTTGGCAAAGGAAGAGGGGATGGGACCTTCAAATGCGTTATTAGTGAAATCGCTGAAAACATGGAAACAGGGAAGAGAAGGGATGTGAAGGGATGTGAAGTGAAGTGAATGGAAGTGAAGGCACGTGCATGGGATGGGAAAGGGTTGTGAAGGGGAAATGAAGGGAGGTGGATGGGAATATTGAAATCACTTTTGAGAAATCTCAGAAGTGATATTAATATAGCTGGGACATGAAGGGAAGTGGATGGGATGCCAAACCCACATTAGCCGGTTCATACATGTGTGACGTGAGCACATGCGAGCACACGCATGCGAGTATGCATACATGTGAGCTCACACGCACACATATGTGAGTGCACACACACATTTGGGTATGCGTACATGCACACAAGCACACTAGAGCATGCACACATGATACATGCAATGCGAGCGAGCCTATCAAGGGCAGAAAGGGTCACTGGAAGAGGCCCTGAGAGGCGATTTTCAAAAAGCCCACTGGGAGGGGCTGGGCAAAGGCGGGTGCAGAGAGGGGTGCGAAGGGGAAGGATACACACACAGGCTTGCATGTGATGTGAACATTCATACATACACTCGTACATACATGTGAGAGAGCCTTCCAAGGGAGGAGAGAGTCTCTGGGAGGGTCCCTGTGAAGCAATTCTCAGAGAGTTCACTGTAAAGAGTGGGCCAGGGGGGAGAAAGGGGAGGATATGATGAGGGTCCCTGTGAAGCGATTGTCAGACAGTTCACTGCAAGGAGCGGGACAAAGGAGAGGGGGGGTATGCAGGGGAGAGGGGTGAGGCAAGATGGGAAGGGAGAGAATATGAAGAGGGCGAATGATGCTGGGAATATGAGACAGAGGGAAGCAGAATAGGAGCGGGGCGGAGTGAAGCATGCTCATAAGCCATCAGACCCCATCACACACACAGGCAAGGGTGCTACTAGCCTAGATGTTGGTTACGCGCGTTGCTACTAGCCCAGGTGTTGCTTACAGGTTTTGTAAACTGGACAGGCTCCCGAAATCGGGGGGAATAGTTCCACTGAACTGGTTCTGTGCGATGTCACTGCCAGAAGAAACAAGGCCATTGCTTATAGTGAGTACAGATATGCGGGATCAAGTGGATCGATGTTTGATGGTTTTGCTGGACTGGGTTTGTGCGATGCCGGTGCGGGATAGGGCGACAGGATCACAACGAGTCAATGCTTATAACGAGTACACGTAGGTGGAATCAAGATGAGAAAACGAGTGAAAACAACTTCTTTGATGCCGAATGACCATCTTTGAGAACACAAAAGTAAGATGGTTCATTGCATATCAATCAATTCAGTCGGTTATACTGCATTAGGTACGATAATGTTTGTTTATGTGCACGTTCATATAAGATGGGCAGCTTACATGGAAATTAATCTTGTGAGAGACGCCAGGGTTGGAAGGACCTCCCCTTTGAAAGAATTTCTGCGCACCTGGCTGCATCACAAAGCAGAAGACAGAGCAACGAAGAATACCCTGTCTCAAGACGACTCAAAACCAGAGGGTTACTTTGCACCGGCAGGGAGGAGGACGCGAGCTGGCACAAGTGAGGGTTCTTGTATCACACCCCGCTGTTAGCACACAGCAACTTGACAATCATAGAGACTTGCTTCTGAGACACCTTGGAAGCACTCTCTGTTTGTCTGTGTCAGCACAGCACGGCACAGCAGCAGACATACAAGTACTGGAGCCTGGAGAGGCTAGAGATGGAAGGCGGAATGGCTCCTGAGAACCCGTTGTAGCTGAGCGACCTGCAGGCCAGAGCGGGAGGGGTGATGGACGGTGAGGGATTTCTGACATGACCCAAAACACGGCTAGAGATGGACGGCGGAATGACTCCAGAGAACCCATTGTAGGTGAGAGACCTGCAGATCAGAGCGGGAAGGGAGGAGGGAATTTATTGTAGGTCAGGCGGGGACATGGCGAGTGTTTGAGGTGTCTCAAAACAAGGCGAGAGATGGACGGCGGAACGACTCCTGAGAAGCAATTGTAGCTGAGAGACCTGCAGGTCACACAGAGAGACAGTGAGAAATCAGGGTTTTTATGTAGGAATTTTTTGGATATCTGGAATTCCAGAAATCGACTCAAGCTGGCGCTCAGGAAACTTAGGACGGTCCTTTTGGGTCGACTCACAAGGCACCTCGTTTACAGGAATGCACGATTGTGATGGAACAAAGAGCACGAGTTATCAAATGGTTGCTGCTTTCAGGAATGTAAGATTGCAGAGCAAAGAGAGGGAGGGAGGAAGGACGCGCCTGTCGCCTCAGAAGTCACCCCCCTTCCAGGAATGTAAGATTGTCGAGCGCAGAGAAAGTGGCAGGAAGGGCGTCTGTGAGAGTGTTGTTCCCCCCCTACAATTGTAAGTGGGAATGTAAGACTGTTGAGTAAGAACGCCTGTGAGGGTGTGGTTCTCAACCCTACAGTCACCCCGCTTACAGGTATGTAAGATTGTCGAGCGCAGAGAAAGTGGCAGGAAGGGCGCCTGTGAGAGTGTTGTTACCAAGATTGCTGCAGAGGAGGGAAGAGTTGCAAAGAAGGCATAGTCAAGTTCTGAGCCGTCTCAGCGTTTCAAAACTGCTGTAAGGGAGGGATGACTTGCAAAGAAGACGCAGTTGGGTTCAAGAATATTTGGAGACTGCGAGTCTTCCAGTGCCACTGTTAAGTCACTGGAATATTTGTAGAGCCACTGGAATCGCCTCAAACCAAACACTGGAATCGCCATTTTGATTTAGTGAGGGCAGATAGAAAGGCCCTTTCCAACCTTCCACCCTTCCTCTACTCACAATGGCTGCATCAGGGAGAGCCACTGGATGGTGGCAGGAATAAGGCTGGATACTGAACTGTATTGCAGAGCACCGCAGTGTACCATCATTGCACCATACCCCATTGTACCACACAGCAATGTTTCAGAACCCCTTGTACCATTCTGTACCGTGTTTTACCCATTCTGCCTCTCGCAGCTTCTGTGGCCAGGGACAGATGGTCAATGCAGGTGGGAGCGAGCGAGCCCTGTCAGATACCATACCACTTCTAACCTGCCATTCCCCTTCCCCTCCCTCACAGCTTCTGCAGGCGTGAGAGCTGGCCAATGCTGGCAGGGATGGATTCATGCAAAGTGTTGAAGCTCAGATCGCTGGGGGGTATTGGGCGGAGGGGAAGAGGGGAAGAAGTGGGGGAAAAGCGGAGCAGGGAAAGGGGAGGAGGGGGTAGGAGCAGAGATGAAGGCGAACGGGAGGGGGATGGGGGGGAGGAGGAAGGAGGAAGGAGGGAGCAGGGGTGCGGGGGGGGGGGAAGGGAATGGTCAGTGGTGCACAGAGGGGGGCAGGGGTGAGAAGAGGGGGTAAGGGGAAGAGAAAGGAGAGGGGGTGCGAGGGAGAGAGGGGAGGGAAAGAAGAGGGGGTAAAGGGAAGCCAAGGTCAAGGGGAAGGAGGGAAGGAAAGAGGTTGCAGTGGCGCATCAGCAGCGAGTGTGCTTCATGAATCACGCCGCACTCACATTATAATGAGTGTTGTGAGCTTGCCTATATCGGAGCAGATGCTTCCAGTGAGATTGGAGCTGTGAAGATCACTGCGAGAGGGCAGAGTGGGCGACGGGAGCATATAGTGAGTAATTTTAGTATCGGTTTAGCAAGATTTGATCTGTGAAGTGAAGAGAAGATCACTGCAAGAAGGCAGTGTGGGGGACGAGAGCATCTGTGAAGTGAAGTGAAGATTTTGCAGTGTCCTAAGCTGCAATATGGGACTGCAGCAAGGGAAAGGAAGAGCGTTACAGGAAAGAACCAATGCTTGGAGGAGCATTTAGGCAAGGCCTGGTAGGTACCAGAAGAAAGAAGAGGGGAGACGGAGAAAGTGGGGTGGTGTGGAGAGGAGGGAAGGTGGGGGGATGCGAGTGAAAAGAGCATCAAGGTTTCCCCACAGTACGTCACGCAAAAATGTGAGTGTTCAGTCCACGTGATGCCGAGCTGAACCCCACGTTCATCGTGCACTGTATACATGGCACAACTTATAACGAGAACACCTCCATCATTCAGTGTGACAACTCACATGGTGTTGACTGTGCCGTCTTTGTTACAGCGTAACCCCACCTCCATCCCACATGTAGTGGTGTTGCTCCAAGTGTTACCCTTTACACCCATCTCCACCGCACACTGCTCCAATATTACACCTGCACACACGCAGAGGGGTGGCATTGGTGAATTATGTTCAAAGTTTGAAAATAACGTAGTAAGTGTTATAATGTAGTAACGTACAAGTGTTCAAAGGTGAACCAACCTACAGGAACACGCATTACAGACGCATGCAATGCAGACACAACCGAAACAGTCACATGCGATGCAAATACAAGTGTACGCGATACAAGAACAAACCTTGAGCTGAGTTCACAAGAGTGGCGGCCAATGAAAACGACGCATTGTGGCAAAACGCGACGATGAAACCAACGAACAGCAGAAGTAGCGTCGGCAGCCGCCGCCGTGGAGAAATTACGAACGTCGTCTGCTGGTGGAGGTAACCTCGCGAGGGTAGACACGGCGAAGGATCCTGCTGTTCGCGAATCCGGGAGATCGTCGCCGCCATTCGCGAAGAGTCGCACGGACCAAGGGCTAACGGCCGATACTATCGAGGCTTCTCATGCATAATATGAGGCTTCTCAGAAGCGTATCGCCGATGGTTGAGGTGGCTCAGAAGCGTGTGTCTCGACCTGTGGTAACCTAGCGAGAATATTGTCGCCTAGGGTTGTCGGGAAGGATAATTCGCGCAGAGATAGGCTCCTAGCTCTCGTCGCCCAGCCATTGCCTTTCGCCACGGTTGTCGCCTACGGGTTGTCGCCTACGGGTTGTCGCCTACGGGTTGTCACCTACGGGTAGTCGCCTACCGGTTGTCGCCTATTTGTCGCCAACACCTTGTCGCAGCATGAGACTGTAGCCTATTGTCGCATACAGGCGGCTGACAGGAGTCGCACGTCGGGGAGAGGGGGCGAGCGGCATTACACTGCACGTTAGTTCATGCGAGTGCTGAACCGCTTCCCCGCGATAATCGCATTCGGGAATCGCACAGCCTATCGTACTGCTTAGCTTGAAAGACACGGTGAGCGAATGAAGCCGAACGATTTGCGTCATAGAGTCATAAACTATCGGCACTGCAACTATGTCATGTGGAGACTATTCAGTGACCAACATCCATGCCGTATGGTACGGACACCGTCGGCAATCCTTCTGGAAACTGCATCTCGAGACTCGTGCGACACAATTCACAGGCGCCGGCTCGACTGCCGTCGCGATTTTTCACGGTCACGACTGTCTACATAGCGTGGCGGTGCAGCGGCATTCGCGGCCAGTAACTTCGCTCGCAACGTGTGTGCTATGTATGCTCATGAAGAACCTTCCATGAGGCGAAAATAATTGCCACAGGGAATCTCGGCCCGCGAGATTCTGGATATGGTGGGCGAAAAACAGCTGGCGTAACATCCAATCGACGAAAACGATAACTACACTAAAGTTGGATATAGAAAGGTACATATACCAAAGTTGAGATTGAAGCCTTGTTACAACACATGGTAGACATGATGAAATCAGTGCAATCTCATCTTAACTATGACTAAGCTTACTCATTCATTGCCACGTACTCACAAAGCCACCACATCAAGAAGCTCAAGCTCATAATCCATAGTACGCCCGAACCGCCTAGCCTCATGCAGCTTGAGCACAAGTCTGTAATTGACCAGCCCATACATTCGCTGCCTTCTACTTTGTGGACGTCCCATCAAGAAGCTCTAGCTCATCATCCATGGTGCGCCCAGGTGCATAGAATCTCCCAGCCTCTTCATCAATCTTAAGCAGCCTCGACTCTTTTGCCGGCGCCTCACCTCCTAGAAATTCCATTCTAATCGCGCCCAGATGCGCGACAATTTCGGCCATGCGTGGGCGAGACGAGGCCGGCATGGATGTGCATTGCTGTGCAAGCTCGACCAGTTTGAGTAGGAGTTCATCGGGGAGTAAATCAAGGTTAGGATCTTTGATGGCTTCGATGTCACCTGCTTGCACACGCTCCTTGACCTAAAGATGTGGACAATAGTAGACGGGCAAGGAAGTGTGACAACACATGAGGATATTCCAATAACGATCAATTGGGTGGGGCCGTGTCTTGCATGCTTCCGAATGGAAAGCTTGAGTATGGAAGGTAATATACATGAAAATTGCTCGCATATACATAATTCAATTATGTTGCACACACACTTACCCAGTCTTTTATGTTCACTCCACGATTTTCGTGCATCACAACAGGCTTGGTGAGCAGGATCTCAAGCATCATCACGCCGAAGCTGTTGGAAAAGGGGCGAAGGGTTCAGCACGATGATACTTAGGTGTGGTTAGCAAGATCTCAACCATCCTCACGCCGAACGAAAGAGGGAGAGTGAAGGAAATGGAGAGTGAGAAGGTGAAATTTATTTTTTTGAAAAAAAGAGAGAGAAAAACAAAGAATGGTCGAAGTGACCACGCTCCATGGCGCAATCCCATGCGCAAAAAAAAAAAAGAGCAAAGCTTGTCAACTGCAACTGCAAGGGGGGCTTAATTCAACTCAGCACACCTGTAAACGTCAGCCATGGGGGTAACCTTGCTGGTACGCGAGTAAGCGGGGTCCACATAGCCTGGAGTGCCGACCACTCGGGTGGGATTCACTGTGGTGCCTTCTGTCATCCGCACCAGCCCAAAGTCTGATACCTTTGCCTGCGGTCGTGGAAGGGAGGAAGGGGAAATGAGGGCACATGAGGCACCATTTAAAGTGCTAACGAGAGCTGCCTGTATTCAAATTGGACTTCTCTAGAGGTATGGATTCATATATATCTTGCAGTTGCCTAACAATAGAAAACACCATAGTAAAAGCTGCAACTACAAATCATAAATCGTTTCTCCCCACCTGCATGCATGTTGGCATTACCTGCATGTTTCTCCTCATATTACCTGCATTTTGGCATCGAGCAGCACGTTGGCGGGCTTGATGTCTCGATGCACGATGTCAAACTGGTGGAGGTACTCCAACCCCCGCGCCACCCCCACCAGCACATCCATGCGCTGCTGCAGCGTCAATGTGCCTTTCTTTGTTCCTGCGTAGATAAAAAAATAACACTTCTTCAAATGTTTTGAGACGTTACAAAACAGCTTGATTTTGGTAAAAACTTAAACAGTAGTACAATATTGATATTTTAGCAACATCCTCATTTTGAATGGAGAAGGTTGAAATTTCAAAAAAAAAAAAAAAAAAAAAAGAAGGGGCCTATTACCCTTTTTCCAATTTTGCCCACATTAATAGACCGATGCAGCCAGATCACAACACGTTTGGCATTAGCTTGTATCGATTAGGTTGTAACTCCCTCCGTAGGCTGGATTCAAAGGTGTCGGGGGTTGTTAGTGTACTCTCCAACCGCAACTCGCTGGTGAAGATTGGTCCTAAAGATTGGTGCTTGAAGGCATTTGCCAATTCTGGGTCAGATCCCAGCCACTAACCACTGGGATAAAAGAGCTTGTTAAGTACCGGATGAGTGCGCCAATTTTTTAAACTTGATTGGCCAATGCTATGGCAAACGTAATGCTCCCTTCAAGAAATTTCTCTCATCTTCACAGACGAACTTATTCAGGTCTCCATTGGTACGAGATCTCAGTGACACTAAGCGCAAAGGAGTGGAGTGGAGTGGAGTGCAGTGGAGTGGAATGTGGTGGATCATATATGAGCTGCATCAGCTCTCACCTTCACTGAGGTATTTTTCGAGGTCCCCATTGGGACAGAACTCGTAAATGACGATTTGCTCGTGGTGGTCTGTTGCCCTGTCAATGTCCACACAGTACCCCAGCAGCCGCACCAAGTGCGGATGGCTCTTTGATGCCATCTCCTCCACCTGCAATGAAATCAAGAAGATGAAGAAATGGGGGAAGTGTTGCCATAGGCGCTGAGTTTGGGCTAAAGGCCGCCTCTCCTCCACCTCCAAGGGAAACAAGGAGATGAGGGAATGCGAGACGACAAGGAGACATCCATCCACCGGGGTCCATCCATCCCATCCCACACCAGCGCACTCAACCGCTTCATACTCCACTGCACCACACCACACCCACCGGACTACACGCACACACCTCTCGCTTGAAGTCGTTGGTGAGTATCTTGGCGCGCTTCACAGCCCACACCAGCACACTCAACCGTTTTATACCCCACACACACCGCACCACACCACACCCCACCCCACCGACACACCTCTCGTTTGAAGTCATTAGTGAGTATCTTGGCGCGCTTCACAGCCCACACCACCGAGGGATCATCCGGGCACAACCCCCGATACACCTCGCCGTACCCGCCCGTCCCAATATGATTTGCTTCGGCCCAGTTATCTGTTGCCTTGGCAATTACATCTAAGGGGTACCGCTGGCACATGAGTGAACTGGCTGGTACGGATTCCCCTCCCTCCTGCGATGCTCTATTGCCTGCGGGGAGGGAATGGGTGGGCATGGGTGGGCATGGGGGGAGCCAAGCCAAGCATATGAGCATGGAGAATGGGTGGGCATGGGGCAACCACAGCTAAGGGGTACCGCTGGCACATGAGCGACTGGGTTGGTACAGATTCCTCTCCTCTTCCTCCTTCGATGCTTCCTCGCTTGTGGGTATGGGGGAAGCGGTGGAAAAACAACTCTAATAGCTTATTGAAGTGACTCAGGTGCTAGGCATGGGCATGGCTGTGCAAGGGCATGTGCATCGGAGGTTAGCCACTGGACATTTGTTTGTGAAAAATGCAATAAACATTCTTGCCAACCAGGTTGCTCATGTGCCAACAACATTCTGGTACACCCCTCATCCCCCACGTGTGATGAGACGATTTCTGAACCGACTAAAAAATCATGTGCCAACGATAGTGCTCGTACACCCCCCATCCCCCAACACCACGCTACCACATCAAATGACCAAAGCTTCACCTTTTCTGGACCTACGTTTGTAGAAAAAGAACGCGCCGACAGCTAGGAGAGAAGCAACTAGAACACCTCCCACATCCCAACGATTGCTCCCACAAACAGGCCAGAAGACGAGGGAGGAGGAGGTGAGGGAGGGGGAGGTGAGGGAGTAACAATAGCTCGCACCTTTTGAGGCGCCTCAAGAGTAACAATAGCTCAAACCTGCAATGGACTTACGTTCGCAGAAAAAGAAAATGCCACCAGCAAGGAGAGCAGCAGCTAGGACACATCCCACAGCAATCCCAACGATTGCTCCCACAGACAGACCAGAAGAGGCAGGAGGCGGAGGAGGTGAGGGTGGGGGAGGCAAGGGAGTAACAATAGCTCGCACCTGCAGTGGACTTACGTTTGCAGAAAAGGAAAATGCCACCAGCGAGGAGAGCAGCAGCTAGGACAGCTCCCAGAGAAATCCCAACAATTGCGCCCACTGACAGACCGGAGGAGGAAGGAGGTGGAGCAGGAGGAGCAGGAGGAGGAGAGGGAGGAGATGGAGCGGGTGCTGTGGAGGGGGAATCAGGAATAGGAGTGCAAGTGGAGCAAAACTCGCTGCACGTCTGGCAGAACTGGGTGGAGCTGGTCTGCTTGACCGTGCAGGAGTGCCCGGCTCCTGTGGGGCACTCAACCCCGCTTCTGTCGAGGACACTGGGGTGAGAGTGAGAGATACGGGAGAGTGGGGGAAGAGAGGAAGGGTGGAGAGAGAGTGACGGGAGATGGACGGGGAGGACAAAAAAAGGCCGATAATGATTGAACAAGGCATTGTGGTCAAAGGTGTAATACGGTGAGGAGACATGCAGCGACTGAAATTGACGGCGGCTCCTAACTTCCTATCCAGCTTCCACTTTTACCGCTCGCAGCCTATGAGATCACTTTTGAGGCACCTCATGCTTTGAGGAACGACGCGAGATTCTACCCTCTCCTCCACCTCCCAGCTTACAGTCTTTTCTTGAGCCGCCTCAGAAATCAGCTTACAGTGTAGTGAGCTTCATGAGGTTCCCATGGGTGGGAGGAATGATGCCGGAGAAAATTTTGAGGCACCTCCCAAAAAAAATTCCCATCCTCCCCTCAACCTCGCATCTTACAGTGTAGTGAGCTTCATGAGGTTCCCAAGTGTGGGAGGAATGACGCCGGAGAGGTTATTGTACCCAAGGACTCTGTAGTGTGAGTGAATGATGTCAGAGGGTTAGGGCAAAGACACAGTCATAGTGTTGACTGTTGAGAACTCTCAAACGTGATGTCAACAATTGTAGCGTGTGTTTTTTGAGAATTTTCAAAAACACACGCTGCAATATATTTCCCTCCCACGAAGACACAGTCTTAGTGTTGACTGTTGAGAACTCTCAAACGTGATGTCAACAATTGTAGCGTGTGTTTTTTGATAATTCTCAAAAACACACGCTGCAATATATTTCCCTCCCACGAAGACACAGTCTTAGTGTTGACTGTTGAGAACTCTCAAACGTGATGTCAACAATTGTTGAGGCGCCTCAAAAAAAGTGTTGACTGTTGAGAACTCTCAAACGTATGTCAACGATTGCAGCCAAGGACCCTGCAGGGTGGGTGAATGAGTGATGTGATAGGGTTGGGGCAAAGTAATGGTGGCGAAGCGAAATCACTTTTGAGAATTCTCAGATCAAAGGTTATCTCAACTACTGTGACCAAAGATTCTGCAAGGTGAATGAGTGATGGCATTAGGGCAAGGTCACGATAATATGAGGGAGAACTAATGATGGTACTAGAGCGAATCGACTATGAGATTAGGGTGGTTCTATTATGGTGTTGGGCCGAATGCAAGGGTTCTCCTATTAGGCCGAAACAACCATGGCTTTAAGGTGAATATGTGATGGTATCGGGGGGAAGGGCAATGCAAATCCATTGACGCACACAAACGTGTTCGGGTGTTTGATTTTCTGTTCAAACCGAAGTGAGTAAAGAAATGGCAAGGCATGGTACCATGCGTAGGCAGAGGAATGGCAAGGGTATGTATGCATAATGTGCCGCATAATTACTCCTCAACACTACTCACATGGTGTCCAGTCTAGTAAGGTTGCCAAGGCTCGTTGGAAGAGAGCCTGATAGCGAGTTGTTGGCAAGGTCACTAGCGAGGATGGAACAGGAAAAAAAGGGGGGGGGGGGGGGGGGGGGGGGCAGTGGGTAAGAACTTGAATTGAAGCAAGGACCAATGGTGCTGGCTGGCGAATGATTAAGTCATAGTCTAGAGTTCTCACAAGGGTAGTAGCAGTGAGAATGATGAGAAGCAATGATCAGTGGTTTTGGCAAATTAATAATCTACTTTCTAGAGTTTTTACAAGGGTAGCGGCAGTGAAATGATGAGAGCAGCAGGGGCGAATGGGAAGGAAGAGCCAATGGAATAGCTATTTTCAAAGCACCTAAAAAAGCCGAGGGAAATGGGAGCGCCGAGTTATATGGAGCGGTAGGGGCAAAGGGGAAAAACGAGCCGAGAGCAGCGCAGAGCTTTATGGTGGTGAGAGAGAGGAGAGACGACGAGATATTATACAGACCAAGAGTGGCTCTTCACGTTCGCACCTACGTACATCTTTGTCAGAGAAGTGAGGAGGCTTATATTGGAGCAGAAGGATCCATTCAAGCCCTGATCATGGGGGAGACTAAGGGGGATCACAAGTGGGAGGAGAGGAGGAGAATGAAACAGAAGGATCCATTCAAGCCCTGATCGTGGGGGAGACTAAGGGGGATCACAAGTGGGAGGAGAGGAGGAGAATGAAACAGAAGGATCCATTCAAGCCCTGATCATGGGGGAGACTAAGGGGGATCACAAGTGGGCGGAGAGAAGGGGAATGTAGCAGAAGGATCCATTCAACCCCTGATCGTGGGGGAGACTAAGGAGGGTAGCAACGCAGGGGGGAGAATAAGGGAGGAGTGAGGGAGGATAGGTGAAAGTGGTTGGAACGGAAGCAAGCAACAACTGGGCACCTCGTATTTCCTGGAATGTCACGTCACGTCATGCCATTCCACGGCATGTCATGTCATGTCATGCCATGCCCTGCCCTGCCACCACTCACATGCTGTTGAAGGTGCAATCAGGGTCGCATATGATCTATGTTGCATTGCTATCATGCCGTGCCACACTCACATGTCGCTGACACAGTGACACACTCACATCACATGCCAAGCCCTTTCCAATTTGATGATCTACACCAGACTGATTGTCATGATGTCAATGCATACACCTGACATGACATGCCACACTCACATGCCATGCCACACTCACATGCCGCTGACTCCGCCAAAAGGGTCGCATGTGATCCACGAGTCCATGTTGCATGGCACGCCAGGGTAACACATGCCATTGCAATGTCATCACGCCATGCCATACCATTAGACACTTACTTGACACCCCGCACTCACACCACATGCATGCCATGTGTGTAACACTCACATGCCGTTGACGGCGCCAAAGGGGTCACATGTGATCCACGAGTCCATGCTGCATGGCATGCCAGGATACTACATACCATCTCAATGCCATGCAACACTTGCATGCTCTTGTGTTGTTGAGAGCAACACACTCACATGGCATTGACTCCGCCAAAGGGGTCGCATGTGATCCACAAGTCCATGCTGCACGGCATGCACAGCCATCTCAATGCCATGCAACACAAGCATGCTGCTGTTGACCAAACACACTCACATGCCGTTGACAGCGCCAAAGGGGTCGCATGTGATCCACAAGTCCATGCTGCATGGCATGCCAGGATACCGTACCACATGCCATTGCACGACATTGTGCCATGCCATGCCACACTCACATAGCGTTGACAGAGCCAAAAGGGTCGCATGTGATCCACGAGTCCATGCTGCATGGCATGCCAGGATACCACATGCCATCAGGCACCCCCATCTCTCTGCCACATGCCTGCAGAATAGCACCTGTGGAAAGGTGGGCGGGTGGCACGTGGGTGGGATAATCACATGAACCATGGTCAATGCTGCATGGCATGCCAGGATACCACATGCCATCAGGCACCCCCATCTCTCTGCCACATGCTTCCAGAATCGCACCTGAAGAAGGGTAGGTGGGTGGCACGTGGGTGGGATAATCACACGAGCCATGCCATGTGTTTATGTTACACGGTGCGCCAGGGTACCACATGCCATTCGGCACACCCATCTCTCTGCCACATGCCTTCAAAATCGCGCCTGCCCAAGTGCGTGTGGGTGGGTGGCATGTACGATATTAGTGATGCGGCCAAGTGACTTTTGAGTCGACTAGAGAGTCACCAAAGTGTGTGTGTGTGGCATGTACAACGATACTGATGCGCCCAAGTGCAAGTTTGAGCCATGAGCAACAAACAAATAAGCTCTCCCTAAGGTCCCTTAACACACCACATCCCATCCGGCCCGCCCAACTCTCTCCTCACCCTCCCAACCACCGATTTCCACACTATCTCAATAACCCTCAACCCTCCTCACCTTGTCCAGCTGCCACATTTCCCCCTGTCCTCGTTTGAGTTGACTCAATACCTACCACCGACTTTCCCCCCCTTCTCAACAACCCTCAACCCTCCTCATCTCACCTCAAGCCTCCTCATCTCAAGCCTCCTCACCTCAAGCCTCCTCACCTTGTTCAGCTGTCACATTAAACGATGATGTACCGCCTCCCGGGCCCTGTCCTCCGCTTGGCCCCCCTCCTCCGGGCGCTCCCCCTTGCGCTCCCCCTCCCCCTTGCGCTGGCGCTCCTCCGCCAGGCGCCGGCGCAGTGGGGGCAATGGGGGGCGCAATGGAGGGAGCAACGGGGGGCGCAACGGGTGGCGCAGCGGGTGGCGCAGCGGGCGGCGCAGCGGGTGGCGCAATGGGCGGCGCAGCGGGTGGCGCAGCGGGTGGCGCAGCGGGTGGCGCAGCGGGTGGCGCAGCGGGTGGTGCAACGGCAACGGGTGGAGCAATGGCAACGGGTGGAGCAACAGCAACGGGTGCGGGAGGTGCGACGGGTGGTGCAACTGGTACGTTCCCCAGAGATATCATGTTCAACGCCTGTAGGTACCGGCGCGCTTTTCTTGGAAAGTTTTCAGACGAGTCGTTTCCAGAGGCCTGTCCGGCGAACAGGCTACTGGTAAGCAGCAACCACGCGCAGACGACGACAGAGAGAGGCAGACGACTCGTTAAATGGATTTTAGGAGACCCCCGGCGAGTTATAAGTAGCGGGACTAATGGCGACTCGACCACCTCGGAGGGTGCGAGCCGCCGCGAAACCAGGACTTGCGCCCGCCCCGTCATCGTCGGCCTTGAAGCTGTCTCTCAGCGAAGGTGTTAAAAAATATATTATCGCCCGAAATTCTTCCGATTAAGTCGAACTATACATGTACACGAACGGAACTGCGTCGAGTTAAGAGCAGCAAAAAATCGGTCACTCAGCATTGGCGACTCGGACAAAGGATGAGCAACAAAATCGCTTAAGCTGCTTCTCGGACAACGAACCGCAAGCTGTGCGCAAAAACGACTCTCGGAGTGAATCTGTCCAGATCGCTGATAATCTCGCCGTTTTTGGACACAGAGCGCAAGGTGAGCAAAAAGTGGTGTGCGCAAAAACGAGAGTATCTGTCCAGCGTGAACTCGCTAGGAAATCTAGGGTTGCACCGAAGCATTCCGTTCCTAACGGAAG